ACACCTGGCCAAAATTATATTCACATAGACAGTAGGACGAGAATTTACAGGAATACGCAGCTGCAGAATGGAGAGGATACTACTTTTCAATTACTCCAAAATCCACCTTGAAGGTTCCTTGAACGAGACGGTGGTGTGAGTGGGCCCACATCTACTCCCCTTCTCAACTCTGTGCCCAGCAAGCTGCGTCTCCACATCCTTAAGCAGCATTGAGATGAAATCTGTTTGGTTTGCGGTGTGTCCGTCCAGCAAAATTCATGTTGCTTTGTGTATTTCCTTGTGTTTGTACGCGCCCCCTCCGATCACCAAATCGTTGAAAGAGCAGAAGTCTGTGAATGATACTTCATTCTCATTAATTTCTCTGAGAGCCTTTCAACCCATGATGAGTTCTCTTCCTGTCTTGTCTGCACCCAGTTTGGAATTCATACCGCCCATAAGGATTTTGATATCACCATTTGGGATGTTATCAATTGCTGTTTGTAATCGTTTGTAAAAATCCTTCTTCTTTTTCTCGTTCCGAGTTGTTTCTAGCACTGTGCGTCGCATTGGATAATTGTTACCTTCCTTCCTTTGTAGTTGAATCTTGCTGTCATGATCATAGATGAAATTGGTTCCCACTTCATTAGGGCTTTGGCTACCACTAGTGACATCATCATAGCCACTCACTCAGGGTGCTCGTGGTTGTCATCTGGGTGACCAGACCAGGGTAGATTACTGACTCCCCTGTTGACAGTTTGGTTAGTCCATATCCACTCCGCCTGTTCTCGCAGATTTCCAGCACTTCTACACTACATCTCATTTCTTTGGCTACTTGGGCAGCCCTTCCAGCGTACGTAAATTCCACGTCCCCATTCTTATTCTTGCTTTCATTGGGAGAAGACACATAAGCTGGCTGACTGGCTTCCTGAAGGCTTTAACCAACCCACTGTGTCATTTCGCCTCCTGTAGCATTATACATTGCAAATGAATGTTGTTACCCTAGGGTGTTTCCTTTATTAATGCATTTATTAATGATACTTGCACTTACCTATTTCATTACAATTTAATGATTCACCTCAGCACTTTAATTTTTCTAAAACAGATTCCAATCCCTTGTAAAAGGTGTACTTACCTCAATATTGGTTGGTTATCGTATGCCTACAACCACGGGATGAAAACGGAACGAAGTCGATTTTCCCGCCCAACCTGGAGGACAACTGTACAATTCAATAACTATACGGCCTAATTCAGAAAATGAGTGTATTATATGTATCGAATATTTAACAGTTGAAATACGATTAACTTGTAGACAATCTACGATTTGATATTATATCATACTTGATCGTGCCTGTAAAAATGGCATGCATTTTCATGTAAATTTGTAAATTTATATGAAATACACTATTATTATTATTAATCCGAGCAAAGAATAAGATCGTTTTTTGAATTTTTCGTATTTTTAATATATTTCTTGTGATTTGAAGTTTCTGTAGCAGTTTGATTGGTTTTGTGGTGCAGGGTTGCTAGCCCAATGCCCACCTGTACCTCTTTACTCGGGCTTGGGACCGGTTAGGAAACCAGCAAGCTGGTAAACCAGGCGGGGTTAGAAAAGAGAGTGAGTTGACCGATTTGTGAGATAACGGCGAAGAGACAGGCACTCATTTTATGGGTACTGTGTTTTAGGCTGTTTATTCAAATCATCATTTCTTGACTGAAGTTTTGTCATTTTCATTTTGCTGATTACGGTTTTCACTTCCTCAGACACTTAGACACTAATGAAATTAATAGGGGGAATATATTTGTGAATTACGAAATATTTGGGATATTATGAATGTGTTTTTGAGTTGAAAAGGGATGCTGGTCCAGAAGACGCAATATGCGTGAACTTTCATATTCATACCTGATTGAATTTAGTCATAATGGGGTACGATTATTGCTTTTCAGTAATTGCTCCAGTTGGTAGGCGTAAACAGGCGATATGTGCAACAAAGGCCCATGTTATAAGTTGCAGTATTTTATGACAACAAAAATAATCGATGAAGTGCAGTGACGTGGTCAACTAGTACATAAGTCTTAGTGTTGATTTGAACATGTAAGAGCCTACTGATACTAAATGATAAAACAAGAAGGGTGATACACTTGTCTTTTTATAACCTAACGATTTTCTTTGAGAGGGAAGTGATGTACAAGTCGTGTACGACGTACGTTTGCTAAATTATATTTCATTATTCCACTACGAACACGTGTTCAACTTCTATTTTCTTCTCAACACTAGTGAATGCTATTATACGCATCCGGATTAAATATAACTGAAATATTTTGCACAAGGCTTGATGACACATTTAGGAAATGATAACGACTTAGGACTTTGATGCATTTTACACAAGTATTACCACGTTCCCCACCATTCTCGCCAACTATGAGATGTCCCCAAAATGACAAACAAAAGAGATACAGATAGTGGACATAAACGATGATAAACCAAGTTAAAAATAACTGAGTACGATAGGGTACATATTTACGTCAGGAATTCATAGCAATTTAATGAAAAGAAATCAAAGTTGTAGCAGTAAACAATTCCCCAAAATTATTGGCCACAGCATTCATCACTGAACATTGGATGCTGACCCTCATTGTTTAAGTTAACTTGTTTAGCTGAAGGCTTCCAGTCAAGCATCCACACCATTTGGTACTCTATTGTGTCACGTTCGTTCGTTCGTGCACGATCCCTAGCTAGCTAAGCAATCATCTCGCACTCCGATTTGGTCCCGAAATATATCTCGTAATTTGGACGATCAATTCTGTTGTTTTGCTTTGCCTTCTGTCTACGAGGAACAAATACTATAGTAGTCGTGGTTATCAGATCTGGCGTTAGTATACTTCGTGCTATCAGTGAACGCCAACATCCTCAGCCTTTAGACAGTTGTACATTGTTTTCAGCTGAGCTATAGTCATCAAAAAGTCTACTAACTGTTCTATCCTCGAGATGCTTTTCAGTTCTCCTCAGTTGGTAGTAAAGTTTTCATCAACAAAATATCTACCAGAAGAGATTCGACATCATAATTCCATGCGAAGATTGAGATCGTACTCCATCGACTGCTTTCAGCTGTATTGCAAATTATCTGAGGGTGGATACATATTAGGTGGATTGATTTTACCTCTGGTGAACAACATTTCATATTAGGCACACTGAATATGTGAAGAAGGGAGGGAACAATCACAGATTTTGTGAAATTCTATAGATTAGTCGTGGAATGTGTACATTCCATGATAGACTTGAAGAGTCTTAAAATTTCCGGAATATTACGATAGTCCTCTTCTGCAAAAATCAAATATTACACAACTGTTTCTCTTATCGATTCGTTACAACCAAACTAATTCTAACCTACGTATCGATGATGCCTTTTCATGGTAAATGGATATTTTATCTACCGAACCCACATTGTGCTGAAATAACGCTGTTTGCTCTTAAAAAAGCGCTGGACGCTTAATTGATGCAAGAAAACCTTAAACATGGGATTTACAGCTAAAATGCTGACCTTGTTGCTGAAATAAACCTGAAAAATTGACACTGCTCTGAACTAGGTCTTTTTGTTCTGAAGCAATGCCAGTCAGTGGTGAATCTGCGCTGAGAGGACTGAAACCACTCTGATTAGCAGACCCATTAGGTTCCCAACTAATTCTGAAAATGAGGCAAAGCTAAATGTTAAGCAGCACTGACTGTTAATTAGCGAATGACCCCGAACGCACCTATGACAAGAAGGGGGCATTCTTGTGTTAAGTAGGATGTCTTTCCCTCAAATGTGGTAAAATCATCTTCCAGTTTAGCATAGGAGTATCAATGGAAAAGTTACACATCCAACTGACAATAATTGACACAGCTTTGCGACTCATTAATGCCTCTTATCCTGCTTTCTAACCTTTCCCCAAAGCCTTCGATGGAACTGATGTGGGTCCCTGAAATGGGATGGAATAGGTGGAATGGTTGACTCTGTGATTAATTTACCCAAGGGTTGACAAGGATTTATAATCTTCCCACTCATCTATGTGTATTATAGACCCTTTTTTCTTCAGTTGAGTAAAAATAGGCAATGAAGTACCGGACTTTCTATCCGCTATTCTCTCGACTAATCCTTTCTGTAGAGAGGCATCATATAAAACAGTCAGCCAAATATTATTCGCTCGTTTTCGACCACGGTTATATTTTTTCTTTAATAAGACAGTTTCATCTGAATGTACTATGGCATCTTCTACTCCCAAGGATAGATTGGACCTGGCAAAAACTGTTCCTACGAAATGTCAGAATCGTCAGCCTACCTTCTCTGACATTAATTCATCTCAAACGAATTGCACAACGATGCATATCCCAATGAATAGTCGTCACACTTCCATATAAATAAATCCTTTCTTTCCTAATCAACATCACATCTGAGCAATACTGGAGGACTTGATCCTCACCAAATTATAAGCGCAACTGTGTTAGAGCGGGCATTTGACTCGAACCAAGTGGAATGGAACCGCGAACCCACGTGAATAAAATTCACTGAACCATTCAAGGCCAATGGTATGGTAGCCCTCCATTGCTAGTTAGTGGTGCTTAAAGTTTAAATTGGCCAATTCTTCTAACCCTAACCCTAAAGTGAAAATATCCTTAAACTAACCATAATCTAACTCGCACCAACCCTAATGTCGCCTTTATTAGTTTAACCTAACCTTAACTGGTCCTTGGCTTAAAGAGTAAATTAATCTTTCTCAAACCTAAGCTGAAACTTGCCAGATATTCCACTTAATAGCATAACACTTTGATGGGCATATTTTACTGATGATGACAACATTATATGACAGATTTCACCAACTTCAAGGTCATTGATGTGATGACATTCCACTGGTAGTTAGTGGTGCTTAAAGTTGAATTCGGCCTAATTTGGTACCTTAAGCTGAAAAACATAACATCTATCTGGTTTTATTATTATATCAAGGCCTGCCTCAGTGGCGCGCAATACGTATTAACCGCAACATTTATGCAAACGAAAATCTACCAATCAAAATATGCACAAGTGACCTTCAGGTGCTCAGCCTCTTCGTAAGCCGTTTGTGCCTTTATCGTGTCATTTCCTGAAGTGTTCACATGTGATTTTTAATACAGCGTTAGTATTTGGTTGTGCGCAGCGTTTAGAAAATTATAGAACGTGAAGACGTTAGTGTACTGTAGCACAATAATCGGAGTCACATATCGTATGCAGTAAAGTGGTTAGCCGACTTATATACGTCGATATCGAAACACTTTCTGGGTTATTTACACTCTTATCCTCGTAAATTTATACATATTTCACATTTTGAACTTATTCTTGTGTTTTCTCTGTACAGAATCTGCGTTTTTTGTGGTAAGGATAGTGATTATTTTTTTGTCTTTTGACCCAAGCTTACTATAATGTTGAATTAAATCTCACTAATTCTGAAATAATTCTAACATTCTATGGTGAGTAAATTCTGAATCTGTTCTGAAATGTATTCTCTAATGGCACAGACTAGAACTCAGAGCTGGTTTTCAGCATGACTGGCACTAATTCAGCAGCGTGCTCTTTTTCTAGACATTTTCAGGAGTAGATCAGAATTTACTGGGTTTGCTTATCAGCGTTTTTTCAGCCTTCACAGGACATATTAAGCACGGACTAGCGTTACTTAAGAACACAGAATACTTAATTCAGCACCCAGCTCTCTTTTTAAGCGCGACCAGCGTTATTTCAGAACTTAGTGGGTAGTGTGTTCTATGTAACCTATCGAAATACTGGTAATAAATTCCTGGTTGGCACCTTCCTTCCTAGACGGGAAATGTTAGCTGACAGGTGGATCAGGTTGGAAAAGAGCCAGTGGTGGTCAAACCAAAACATGGCTTCATCAGTCAATGAAATCCACAACAGTTAGTTTAAGCCACGTAGGGAGATGTAGACTTCCTGGTTAGGGTCCTCTGCATGGTGAGAACCAATGAAGGCTGGAGACCATTGGTGATATGGCTCAAAATCGTTCTCAATGGCTGGTGCAGATGCATCCACTCCTTGTGACTTATAATATCCAATAAAACTATATTGTTCTTCGATATTACTATTCTTTTTGCCTCCTATCTCTGTTTAGTGTCTCTATTTTGCGTTTCTTTTTACTTTCTTCTTCTCTGGCTTTGTATGCTGAGTGATGTGGCAACTCGAACTGCGGCACGTCTGTGCAAAGTTCTATGTTGAAACCAGACAGACAGAACTGGTTGGCACAGTAGAAATGAGTGTTCTTCCTCCATCTATGCACCAGCGTCAACATCCTTACCCAACAGTCACACTTCAAGCTATTTTTAATAAGCCCAGTATTTCTACTTGTGGACGTAAACACAACTTCGGATTTCGGTCTCCAGTATGCTTATGGTCGGTCATTCATAGGTGCAGATTACCCATCACCACTCTTGGACATTGATTTCTTACGCCTCTACGAATTACTATTAGACTATGTAAGTCCCAAATTGATCAACTCACTCAATAAAGCGCACATAGCTAGTAAAGCTAGCCGTGCATTTTGAGCCCCCTGTCAACTAACATTATGCAGCGTTTGGAAGTGTGTTAGGAGTTTTCTGTACACGGAGTCAATAGTTCCTTCTAACTGTACGCAGATGATGAGAAGCTGACAAAAAAAGATGGTTGTATGAATTTATTTTTCTGCTTACCCAGTAAACACATAGGCGTGATTGATTCAAGCAGTACCTTTGTATTTACTTAGGTCACTTATTCAGATGCTGTTAAGTTAAAGCTTCCGACCGAATCCTTCTCAAAATTTTTCATCTGCGAATTATACAATTCGATATGAGAAATCATGATCGTTTACTTGAGAAAACCAAAAATCTTCAGATCACAATGTGTGATTTGGTTGCTATTTTAAGTGACAGTTAGGAAGCCAATGAGAATGGTATGTTAGTATATACTATTGATTGACATGATTAGCTGTTCATCCCTAAGCTTTTCGAGTGGAGCAGGATTTGAGGCTTAAAGTTTCTGGTTTCAGTAGCAGTGGTGTCTCCTTCACGGGATGGGGTGTCAGACCGACACTAGCCCAACCTCCCCTGTTACCACTGGCTTAATATGGTTAAGGAAAGCGTCGGCTGAGAATCGAAATCCGGACAATATATGGTAGATTTGGAGGGCATTCAACCAGTGCACCACCACTGACTCTGTGTTATGAGTAGTTTGAAATCATTTACGCCATCGTAGTTGTGTAATTTCTTCTCACCACATTGAAATGTGTAATCTGTAGATGATGAATTCAATTCCACGTATTACTTGTTCATCCAAGTATCTAACCATTATAATTCGGTTGATGTGGGCTGATTCACAAATCCAGTACAGCGTTGATGAACTCAGTTGTAAATAAGCAAAGCGGCAGTATCCCGCGTGATTAGATCACTTTGATTTGGCTAGCTGACTGGCTGGCTAACAAGCACTACTCATATCAATTGGCTGTGTAATTCCAAAGCATTCTTCTACCCCTTCATTCATTATTTAGTTATGTCTAACACTTTTCATCCTGCTGAACTGTTCACTTTTGTGTTTTGTGTTTTTATTTTGAAAATAGAATAACCTGGACATGAATAAAGCAAAGAAAAGCTTTATCTTTATTCCATCTGAATTAACTGAATATCATATATGGAGAAATGTGTTGAAATCAAATTCTACCGTCTATTTATTGGGTTATACACTACCTTGTAATGTGCACAATTCAACTAACGAGAATAATAATAATAATGAAGTGGTATTAATTTTGGGGTTTTATAATTCACCACCGACTGAGAATAATCAAATATGTCCATATTGTTGTAAGTTATTTCTTTTTTTTTGTTTTCTTTGGAAAGATATGTAAGATGTGATGTTTGTTTTTGTCTGTATATAGCGTTACTTGAATAGGATTTGTCATTGTATCTCCTCGAGGACCCTAAGGAGACAGTTTACACCTCCCTACATGAACTGATTCGAGGTTTGGTTTGACCACGTTAACTTTTTTCTAACCTGATCGTGTGTCAGATAAGCTTGCTTGTCGAGGAAGGTGGCGGTTGCTCAGAAGATGCAATACGTGTCAAGATAGCTTCTCAACGTCTTTGATTGACTTTCCGTCTTAACTTAACACTCTACGGCAAACATCAATATTCCTCACTATATTGTACCCCACTTACACACAACAATATCTTTAGATTCCACTATAGAACGCAGAGTAGACAGTGGTGAAGTGAGGTATGCGTAATACAACGTACAAAATAGTTTGTACCCGTCCTATTTATCCCTGTTTATGTGATTATCAAGCAATAGTTAAGCACCACTATACAAATTCTCTCAGATAATTACACATGGATAGCATCAGATATGAATTCGTTTGGAAAGCAAGCATGGTTTAGATCCAGGAAAGATTTTCAAGTATTAATTTACAACGCGGCCTGATCGATGATGAGTTGACTTCAGCTAGAGAACCATTGAAACTCAGAAGGGGGTGCTAGTGCTCGCTAGTAACTGACTACAGGATGAAGTTGCTTAAAAGTGTAATTGGGAGTCGTGAGCAGTAGGTTACACTAAGTAGGGTGCGATGATTTACACACGCTAATGATATCAACCGACAGTGGCGTGGACCAGCCTTTGGATTCCCTCCCAGTGGCTAAATGAGATCGTCCTGTAATCTGAAGGTCTTGGGTTCAATCCCTGCCGTCGGCGTGATTGGTGCACACTGCTGAAGAGTCCCAAACAAGGACGATACATGAAAGATAAAAAATACTAGGGAAATTCTGAAACCCTTCTACGCATGTCAATCGGAAATGAATAAGAATAGAATTGAGTTCAAGTGAGCAGAATAAACAATCGATAATACACCTGTTGTCAGTAAGAATACAGTCATATCTAAAGTCAACAGATGACATGTGTATTAAAATACAAAGGTGCACATTTCACACCTCTAACTTCTTCTATGGAAATTTGTTGTTATGATATGAAAAACCTAACACTTACCTGTATATACATCCACTTGTCATTAGAATATACATAATGTTCTGGGGGTTAATGGTATTACTTAGTTGGTCAGACTCCAGTGGATTAGGCGAAGTTGATGATGTATATGTTTTTCTTATTTTATGTAGATACGCGAATTTACTCTGAGGATTGTTTGCATATTTGTGCACGAAGTTTGAGAAAATATAAATTTGAAAGGTGAGTTAGTTATCGCTAATCCTTTATTATTATTATTTCTTGCGTTCCCCGAGTGTTAGCATAAAGCTTCAGTTGGGGTGGCGCGGGGGCGCTCATCTCAATTCCAGTTAGTTTTCTGCTGTTGTCATTTTCAGCTGTCTCCTCTTCTCCCCACAAGCCTTTATCTCCTTGTCCCCGTTCACATGATTTACTCCATGTCATCCTTGAAGAAACACCCAACCTATCGCTTGCCGCTATTCAGCTTCCACTTTAGGACTCGATTTCCTTCTGCACAATTGTTAGACAGCCAGTGGCTTGTCGACTGGTTGTCTGCCTGACAGAGACAGTTCTAGTCGTCCAACCAGTCATGTGATCTTCATTGTCGAGCGAAGGAGGAGGTATGGAAGGATCATGTCGATGAGATGAGAAGTGGTTGAAGAAGTTTCTCCTATATAAGCCAAAACTTGAGTGTTTCTGTTAGGAAAGAGACAGATACTCAATAATTTTTGCAGGTTATCTTTTTCGCCTTGTATAGAACTTCAAACGAAGAGAGATTGTATAGATGAGATGACTAGTATTGACAAGATGTTCAGTGATTGCGCTTGTATATCCGTCCACTTCCACCTCTTAGTAACGACGAGGGATTGCGTTCTTTAACACTCATGGAATAACCGATATGCCTAGCTGAACAGCAGCCAATAAAATGGTTTGCACACATAGTATGGATCAAGTGAGGGATCGTGTCTTTCAAGCAAGGGTGGGCTGGAGAACACTTTTTAAGTGATGTGCCGCAGTGATTATCTTTTTTTTTATAGATTTTCACATTCTTCTTTTATGGATGTCAGCAGCTAAGTCACATTTAGGATCGAGGTGCTTGTGGGTGTTTCTGTGTTAAAACTGTGTCAGCCAGTCAGTGAATCAATCGTATGCAGCCTATCTTGGGCGAGAATCCATTTTCGATCAGTACGCCTTTTTTGTAGAAGATTTAACTGCTTTACCAAACCGCCAGGATTGCATATGCAAGTAGCGAGTTGTAGAATGAAATATGAACTGTGCCCAATCGGTATGAATTTGTGGAAAGCGTAGAAACATCACAGGGTGGGTATGGACGAATCGTTTATTTGAAGACACTTTGAATACTATTATTGTCACTATTAAAACACAAATTTGGTGCATTGTGGGCACGGAGAGACGCGCTGGTGTACTGTACCGGCTGCTCACCACACTGAAGCAGGTGGTTGGTGTATCAGCAAACCACCCCTCGCTGAGCATTTCACGTGAAGTCTGATACAAGGCAGTGAGTGGGGCTGTGCGTTAGGAACTGTGTCCTCATGCTTTGCGGTAACCAAAACAGGTTGATCATATGCTATTCTATCCAATCATATTCTGGGATCGGGGTTTTCCAGCTTCCCTAGGTAGGACTAGCTAGCTTGCTTGGTGAACTGTGAAGAGACTAATCGATGTGAAAACTGGTCATTGGATGAAAGTGATTATCGTACTTTCTTTAATCTATTTGTTTCCTTCTCTTTATCTTCCCCTTCTCCCCACTCTTTAGTTCATACATTAAGAAATACAATCCTTTGTCAGATGATTATAATAATAATAATGCGTCAAATATATGGATCAGTGTAGATATGAACACACTACCCTCCTCATTGAAACATGGTATTATGATGAAATATACAAGTGGATTTAATTACCCAGGGAATAAATCATCGTCTGAAGGAGATTCATTCAATCGGTGGATGTGCAGCATTATGCAAAATGAAATTGGTCAGCCCTTAAATCACCTGATTCGATGGTTGAATGAATCTTCCGGGGATACGAATGATAGTGACTGGGATTGGCCTTCTTCTATTCAGCACCAACATAAAATAGTAAAGTAAGGTGAATTTAATTTGACAAGTGTGTTTTTTATTTGTCGTTTATTTTTGACTTCGAATTGACTATGGTGTTCAGTGTGACATTGAAACGTTCGTCGGTTGAAATTTCAACTCGGCGAATAATACTTTCTTAATATTGACATATATTTAGCCATGGAGATTTGTCAACATCTCGAAGGCTATTCTCACATTGATCACTTATTAATTATCCTTTTAAATAATTTAGATTCATTGTTCGGTTCTCCCACCCTTCATTTGTTCCTTGTGAAAGCCATGCTGGAATGGACTAACCTATCCTCTTAGATAGAAAGTATTCTCTGCCTACGGCTGATGGACACCTTGTTCGACCAAAGCCGGTGAACTGTGACTTGTGTTGATGAAAAAAGAAAACACGAAGGATAAACATTGAAAACTGGCGATTAACTGATAGTTTGCAAAGAAAACCATCTTGATGAATTTGGAATTTTTTCAATGTGATCAGGCTTCAGATATGCTTGAAAATCCTCCTCCTAAACAAGTTGGTGAGAGGCGTTGTTCTTTCGGTGGGGAGGGAAACTACCTATCAAATAGCCGCTTCCATGTGCGTGTGTAAATATGGGTGTCAAGTGTGACGATGGATAATAAACTGTTAAATGTCACGTAGCTACCGCTTGCATTTCCATACAGTTGGGAATGACTTACACACCTATTTTGTGTGTGTATGTGTATGCATGAGGGTTAATGATATTACTACTGCGTGATCGACGAAATCTCTGTAGGCGGTGATCGCTGTGACCCACTGACTGGTTGGAAGTCAAGTGCCCAGACCAATGATCTACAGTTCCAATTACTGTTTATCGGGGGTGGTGGTGGATGATCACAGTGAGTGAATACATCTGCTCTACCGACAGTGATTTTGAGCCATATCACCAGTAGTTTCCAGCCACTGGTCCTTAACATCCTGAGGACGCCAACCAGACATCATGGATAGATGTCCGTTTTTCGCTTGACCCACACCTGACTCTTTACCAACTCAACACTATGTGATGCAAGACTGTTGATTGAGGATGGCGATCACTGGTTATGCGTAACACATATCCTAGCCATCTATCTCAGTCGGCATATTGTCACAACCTTATCGACTAACTTCTCCCCCTCCCTTACCTAACATTGTAGGCCTAACTTGAATATTACTCAGTATATTATGCCACCACTTAAAACGGGAAATGGAACGCAATCATCTGTGGCCGAAGACAGCTAACCCTTTTATATCTTCCACTTTGAATGACACTACTTCTGACAGCCATAAAGAGGGAACTGTTATGCAGTGCAGTGCAGTGGACGACATTTCCTTTGATCGATAGCCAGTCGGAGAGAGATGACATAAGTTGTTGAACGGCACACAAGCCTTTCTCATCCATCGTGTGAGAATTCTTCAGGAATCAGTTAGTTTACTTCTCAAATAAATGAAGTAGTCAACACGCACAATCACTTCACTCGGTATTGTTAATCTAGGAGTCAGTGTAGTCGAGTTGTGCCGCAACATCTTACATCTGATAACATCGAATCGCATGTCAAACATTCGAAGATTTCTACCCACGAAGTATTGAAAAGAGTTTGTCTGTCTGTCTGTTTTCGACATAGAACTTTGCACCGATGTGCAGCAGTTCAAGTCGCCACACTCCCCCCATGTAGCACACAAAGCAAGAGAAGAAAGTAGAAGAAATGCATAATATAGACAGTAAACAGAGGTGTGAGACAAAGGAATAGTAATAGCGAAGAACAATATAGTTTCATTGGATATTATAAGTCACAAGGAGTGGATGCATCTGCGCCAGCCATTGAGAACGATGAGTTTGAGCCATATCACCAATTGTCTGTCTCCAGCCTCCGTTGGTTTTTACCGTCTCGAGGACCCCAACTAGTCAGGACGTCTACACCTTCCTACGTGGCTGGCTGGGTTAAACTAACTGTTGTGGATTTCATTTACTGATGAAGCCATGTTTTGGTTTGACCACCACTGGCTAATTAATATATGTGTAAAACTTGGGCACTGTGGTAGTAAGTAATTCCATATTAGTTTGTTTATTAGATATATCACACAGTGAAACAGTATTATTTACTGGATGACACAATTTCGAACACAATTTATTATTGTTCATAATCATATCAATTGTAATCACGCGACTTCGAAACTTGAGTTTTATAGTTTTCTTTGTTTTCTCCTATTCGTCGTCGTTGGGGTAGTAGAATTTTCCAGATATCTGGGTGACAGGTGTTGAATCATTTCTATTACACGTGTTGATTTGCAGTTGATTCGATAAACAAAGCTTCTGTTATCAATCTCTCCCTCCATTCACCCTGTGACATTAGATTTTAAAACTGTCATCCTATCCCATCCTATTGTGTGGTTGTGTGTAACTGCATGTATGCTATAGCTGAACTATTCTCTAGATTTCTTATCTTATTTGGATCAACCAATCTAGATTTTGCTAAGTTTTTATGTTCTGCTAGTCTGACTGCCCCTGTTCTACTACTTTGACCTATGTATTTGACCTGACAATCATCGCAGGCAGGGTATTAGATAAACTAAATTGTTTTGTTTTAAATGCCCACCATTCACCACCATTCAACCGACAAAGTTTGTTTCTAATTGAGTTTGTGGGTTTGAATGCCATTTTTATTCCTGCCTTGTTAAGAATTCTGCGTAAGGCTTCCGAGGTTCCTTCCTTGTATGGAATTACTACTGATGATTTAGATTCCTTATTCTTGGTGTCATCATTAATAATAGTATTATTATTATTATTATTATCGTTATCATTATAATTGTTATTATCACTATCGCTACTATCATTATTTATTTTATTTTTACATTTCCTTACATATTTTCTGAGTAATTTATCCGGGTAATTATTAAGTTTCAAGGCTTTTTTTGTGTGTATCAGTTCCTGTTTTAGATTTTCCTTGGCATTACTTAGTCTTTGTGCTCTGTCATTTAAACATTTCACCAATCCTATTTTTACTGACATAGGATGGGATGATCAGAAGTCCAAATATCTGTTTGTTTGAAACGTCATCCAGTAAATAATACTGTTTCACTGTGTGATATATCTAATAAACAAACTAATGTGGAATCACCACTGGCTAACTCTTTTCCAACCTGACCCTATATCAGCTAACATTGCCCATTGTCGAGGAAGGCGATGACTAAGCGAGACATGCGTAACACATGTCCTAACCATCTCAATCGGTGTAACTTCACAGCCTCGTCGATTGATTTCCCCTCCCACCTACCTAGAACTCGCTTCTCGGCTCTCTGAGCTAAGATCATGTGAAAAGAGTTTGAGAAGGAATGTGTGTTTTTATATTAATATTCTGTATTTAAATATTTTGTCTCTTTTTATTGATTTTAGTTCTCAACCAGAGAGTGGACACTTCATTCCAACTACAATGATTCAGTGTTGCACAAAAATTATCAATAAATGTGTCAATTTCAGTTATACCCTGTCTCTAATTAAATACCACTTTGATACGGCTAAGCCACGGCCGCCGCCTCCACCGCCCCCGCAGTCGTCGTCTATAGCATCCTCGATGAAGAAGTGTTCAACGAGTCTCTTGAAGAACAATAATGATAATAATATACAACAGAAAGAAAAGGATAATGTCAGGGTTAATTCCTCGACGCGAAGTATCCACCCTTCAGTAGTGTCATGTTTAATTCCAGATGCTAGTCTAAGCATGATCGGTGCTATCCAATTACTGATCTTAATTTTATGCTTAATTACAGTTCCGTACAAAAGTACAAATAATCACAATCACAGTTCTCATTATTATAGCTACGATGATAATGGTGATATGGGGAATGGGAGAAAATGTTGCATACAAGAATCACTCCCGCCACCACCACCACCGACGCGTCAATCTCCTTCGCCTCCTCCTCCCCGTCGTTGTTGTCGTGATTATACCACTTCTGGGCTTTCAATTTTACCATCATTTCCTCATACTACTACTAACAAAGATGACAGTAGTAGTAGTGGCCCTATGAACTGGTTACCGAATGATTTAAATTGTAAAATTATTCCAACATTGGGATTATTTTATTTAGATAATGAAGAAGACAATTACACATCGAAATTATCATCCGCATCGTCGTCGTCGTCGTCATCATCGCTGGCAGTATCCTCATCGTCTTGGTTTTCAACAGTACTGTCGACTTATCTGCCTGCTTTAATCTTGTATAATTCTACAAATGATATCACCAGGTATATATCGTCATCATCAGCAAAATTTGAGGATCGTTGTTGTTGGATGAATATCTTGTATCGATGTGTTGAAGTGAGTATTAATCTTTTTTTTTAATGTTGTTTCGTTTTGTTTTTTATATTTGTAAAACATTGTTTAAGATTGTTTTGAAGTGATATCGTCAGTCAGTTAGGGAGGATGTGATTGAAAAGAAAAACAGGACGTGTTGGAGTAGAGTTAGTTGTTTCATCCTAGTTTTTCGGAGTGTCGTGCAGTATGCGATTCGTCCCTGTAAAATGTAAGATGCTGCTACAGGAGACTGGAATACGTCAACTCCTAGCTTAGTGATAGGGAGTGAAGTGATAGAACATGTTGACCACTTCACCTATTTGGACTGATTGGTGACGAAATCTCAGCACGGATCCAAAAAGCTTGAGCTGCTTTCGCTAACTTACACCATCTCTGGCGGGCGTAGGCGTGACATCCGGCTATCAACCAAGGGACGTGTGTAATGCTCAGCAATTCGCTCCGTCCTTCTCTATGGCTCTGAAACATGGCCAGTAGGAGTTGAAGACGTGAAAAGGTTGACTGTTTTTGATCATAGATGTCTACGATCTCTTTCTCACGTTAGGTGGCATAATAAGGTAGTAAGTAATGTTGACGTTAGGCGTAGAGTGTTGGGCAAAGAGGGAAAATCAATCGACGAGGCTATAAAGCTACATAGATTGAGATGGCTAGGTCACGTGCTGCGCATACCTAACCATCGCCTCCCCCACCCAGACGGGCATTACTAGCTGATATAGGTGCAGGTTGGAAAAGAGTAAGTGGTGGCCAAACAAAAACATGGCCTCATCAATCCATGAAATCCTTGACAGTTAAACTGAGTCAGGTAGGGAGGGAGATGCAGACTTCCGGGTTGGGGCCCGCCCTCGGGACTCCAAGAATTAATGGCTGGAGACAATAGGTGACATGGCTCAAACTCATCGTTGTCAATGGCTTACGCAGATGTATTCAGTCTCTGGTATCTTTCATATTCCTTTCTACCATTACTCATTCTGTTCCACTCTTATACTTGTCAAAACTCTATTGATTCTCTTCACTCATTTTCTTGTGTACCTTTGTGTGCTATTTGGGACGTGGCAACTCGAAGTGCTGCACTTCGGTGTCAAGTTCTATGTTTAATCCAAACAGACAGAGTCGTGCAGTATTCAGCTGTGTGACTCCATCATCTACCGTGACCAATAGATAGCTGCTTGCTTGACGTGGTGGTGGTGGTCAGGTTGCATATCTGGTTGACCGAATGCGAGCTGATACACACATTGTGACTGGAAGTAATGTTTCTGTAGGTCGTACGATGCTGCCGGAAAGTAGTTACCATCATAGTGTATGTCGCTTACACTGTTGGTGGAGAGGGGGGTTGGTTGGTTCGGTCTGTGGACGAAGTCGTACTGATGTGAAATAGGGATGTGATGACCAGGAAGGAAGTCATCTATACTGCCTTTTGACACTGTGTGTTGTGGGGGAGTTAGAAAAGATAGGTCCTGTAAAAAGTTGTACTACTGGAAGTAGCTTGTGGCGGTCCATAACCTCTGGTGTTAAGATCTCATTACAGCAGAAAAAAGAAGGTGAAAACCGGCTTCGAACGGGTTGTGTTTGACGGACCTGAGTGTGTTAGCAGACGGGAAATAATCACCGCCCCCAGACTTCCATAGAAGCACACAAAATCAGGTTACAAGATGTGCTCGTTGACTATTGAATAGTGACTTGTGCTGGGTGACTATGCATATAACATCACCATTAGTCGTTGTCGTCGAGAAGTAATTGTCTTCAGTTGTCCCCGACTTATGATGAACTCCCACTGATAATCACGACTTCTCATAATAAATCTCCAGACGTAACTTCATTCTATAGTAGGACACTAGTGCGTATTATATTAATTTTCAACTGATGGTTTCCATTAATATCAGTAATAAACGTCTTTTTCAAAATGCTACTCGAAAATAACTACCCAAAAGAACTTATAAAAGATAATTTAAAAAAGAAAAAAAGGGTAAAAACGGAGAATAACAAGATGGAAGAATGCAAAAAAGAACAGTCACAATACCATATAAAAATGGTACATCAGAGGCGGAATTCGAAGAAACCTCAAAAATATTGGGATTCGCACAACGTTTAAACCGACAAATCTAATCAAAAATAAAATAAATCAACTGAAAGATCCCATAAAAATGATGGATAAAAACAATGTGATTTACAAAATATCTTGTGCTGAGTGTCCGACTAAATATGTAGGTCAAACGTCCAGATCACTCAAAATAAGTGTGAATGAACATAAACGCCTAACCGACTAAAGGTCAACTAACAGGAACACTAGCCTACAAGAATCTTGAAAAAATTCACCGATATCTGCACATACATGGGACAAAACCGACAATATCGATTGGAACAATGTGTGTATTCTAAAAACTAACATGAACAAATGGAAAGAAAGACATAACAGAATCGATATTCATTAAAGTCACACCGGATACATGTAACAAGGGTGACTCAGTACAACTATCAACAACTTGGAATATAATTCTGGATACAAAAACATGGATGAACGTGGAATATAATTCTGAATACAAAAACATGAATGAGCAAAAATAATGAACTATATATATGAGTACAAATCATAAATGTGTGAACAAAACAATTCCAACAGTGGTGTGAATACGGGCAGTAGTAATTTTGCTCGAAATATTACCAATAACAAAACTTATCATTGTGTGTAAACTATTGAAATATAATCATACTTTATATGATGGTTTCCAGTTTCGTGTTCGATGGCGAATTGACATCACTCAGTGAAGCATCATTAGTCGTTTGTAGTCTCCCAGTTTTATGACTCAGAGTTTAGTAAAGCGGTACTTGAGGTCAAAAGAGAAAGGTTTAATTGTGGTAGATGACGAAATGTGAATATAATTACATTCACGTGGATGGATTTTAGAGGATTGTTAAGATGGATGAATTGAAGTTTGTTCATTTCGATATCTACCATGAAAGGATGCTCCATCCCCACAAAATCTAATATTTAGATAATTAGATCAATATTTTGATAAGATATTTAGTAGAGATTGAATTCATCAGCACAATCACCCGACTTTCAGTCAATGGATGAAGTATTCAGGGTTTAGATGTGGCGGCATCGGTCTATTACAGTCTTGGCGACGGAGTAGTCATCTTATCAGCGCTCACACTATAACTGTATGGCTCGGTGGCACAGTGGTTAGGACTCTCGCCGACCATGCATATGGTCCGGGGTTCGATCCCCTGCCGACGCACACCGGATATCTATGGTCGGCCTGTAAATTTGGGCTACCGATATCCATGCTGAAAATTCCATACCTGTACTGAAAATACGGTGTGGTATCAAGCTGTAATCAAAATCAAAAAATCATAGTCTGATACATAAGGAAACCTGTACTAGATAACTCAGGTGATATTTCCTCCGTGTGAGTCGGTTCTTAGCCATCAGTGTCAATCGGCTTCACAATCGCCTACAAGCCACTTAGTTTCTCCTTCATACAGTCTCATCCATGTCACCTGTCGTTTGTAATTCTGGTTCCACTCAAGAGCGTGGAGTATGTATGATGTCATTTGTGAATGTCTCCTCAGTACCTATCCACCAATGCTATCTCCATTTCCTTCTGCAAATTTGTTGGCTTGGGTTCTCTGCTTTCCACAGATTTCCTTGTTGTCTATCCTTTCTGGCGAGTTGTCTCATGGATTTTCGATATCTAGCATAATTGATGCAATATACAGTCTGTTGTTTGATTCTTTGAATGTCAGTTGCCAGGAAGAGATTCCCGACATAACTGATTAAGAGCCACACACTGTTTTGAAGGATGATGGTACTACCTAGTTGCACAGGCTAAAGTGGTCAGAGTATGAGTCCGTCTGTCTGTTTTCGACATAGAACTTTGCACCGATTTGCAGCAGTTCAAGTCGCCACACTCCTTTCATGTAGCACACAAAGCAAGAGAAGAAAGTAAAAAGGAATGCAAAATAGAGACAATAAACAGAGGTGTGAGACAAAGGAATAGTAGTAACGAAGAACAATATAGTTTTATTGGGTATTATAAGTCACAAGGAGTGGATGCATCTGCTCCAGCCATTGACCGCCGGTAGCTCTTTTCCAACCTGACCCTATGTCAGCGAACAATGCCCGTCGAGGAAGGCGATAACTAGGCATGAGTAACACATGTCCTAACCATCTCAGTCGATGTAGCTTCACAGCCTCGTCGAATGATTTCCCCTCCCACCTACCTAGCACTCGACGCCTAACCTCAATATTGCTCACCTTATTATACCACTTCACATGGGAGATAGAACGCAGACACCTATGATCAAAGAGTACCTATGATCACAATATGAGTGGCACCTCTGACCTGCTGACTGACTGAAAGTCCGACCACTTTATTATCATTATTATTATTATCATTAAAGCACAAACTTGCTACATTATAGACACTAAGAGATGTGGCACAAAATCTCAGTTTTTGCGACGATTAGGATATTTGCTGTCCAGACACTCAAACCGGAATAGGCGGTTGTCTGAAGGGGCCAAACTCCTTGCGAGACTTTGACTTGAATTCTGATCCTAACACCCGGCAGTGAGTGAAACAGAGTCAGGAGCTGTGTTCTCATGGTTTCCAGTGACTAGAACCCGTCGATTCTGGAGCCCATGTATACCAGGGTTTTCCAGTCCTCCCAAGTAGACGTGGATGTTCACCAGTGGGGTTGTGCGCGCAAGATATTCACATTCATCCTTTCACTTATGTAAGGAACACCGCAACCGCCGTCGCGTAAAGGCGGCAGTGATAAATATGACTTCCCTGGCACAGAACATTTCTAGGGGAAGATCGAAGTCTACCCACACCCTCGAATTTCCCAGGTTGTTTTTTGTACTGGCCCAACTACTTTGATTATTAAATAGATTGTTTATATGCACATACTTTTAATTGTTTGTTTCAAAAATACTACATCGTTTTCTCTCTTCTCTTTGTCTCCCCCTCTTCCATTTCAGTATTTCACCTGTGAATTAACCCGCCTACTGCTTTGGCTTGAAAGTGGTAAACCAGCTGGATTGAAAATGAATCTTCATTTGGCACATTTAATGGGACAATTTTTCCTCTATCATATATTAGCCTGGCGTTCATATGTCACTTTCATCATTTATATACTATTTATTCATGTATTAAGTATATTACAACAATTCACTGAGGTGGATACATTCAATGTATACTTTTTGGCCAATTTAACAACTATAATTTGTTTAATATTTAGTACAGTTTATCTACTGGCAACGACACCAACATCAGTCTCTGATGGTGATGGACAGAGTGTAATCCGCTTTCCTTTAATCATCAAAGTATTCGTCGTTTATTTTTCAATAATATTACGTTTAATGCTTGCCTTGCTAACCTGCCTACTATTGGATATCATTGAATTGATTACACTACATTTGACTAGCTTTTATATCTATGCTACTCAGTAAGTATACTGTCTGTTATCTATCTGTTTGTTTATGCTATCTATCTGTCTATCCGTGTCTCTGTGTCTATGTTGAAATGGTTGATGGTCGTGGTGGTGGTGGTTTCTGTTGATGTATGCGTTCCTAGTGTGTGGATGGTTTGATGCGTGATGCCTGTTGGTTAACATGATGCGTGAAGAGGTTGGAATCTAGGGGAGAGAATTGGTTCCATTATGGGTAAATTTTGTTTTGATAAAGTCTCACAGTGGTGTTATACAGTAATGTTTACTGATGACCACGTTTCGAGCACAATTTATTGCTATGTTAGGTTGTAAAAAAAAACGAATAGAAGAAGGCAAACTACACACTAGTATTTATAGAAAACCAAAGCATTCTAATAGATATTTAGACTTTAATTCATCTCATCCTTTAACTGTTAAGGCAGGCTTAGTTAAGTGTTTAACAAACCGAGCAATGGCACTAAGTAGCACAAGAAAAGACCTAAATGATGAAATAAAACAGATAGAAGAGGCGTTGGTGTTAAATAACTATCCCATAAAATTCATTAGGAAGATTGAAAAACGCCAAATGAAAAATTAAAATAATTGTGAAACTAGTAATGCTAACATAAGTAAGAGAGAATATAAGGCACCTGCAATAGTTTTAACATAAAAGGAGGGGACATCTGAGACCCTACGTAGGATTCTAAATAAAGCAGGAATTAGGGTGACATTTAAACCTACAAACTCACTCAGGGACAAGTTCTGTAGGTTAAGGGACCCAATTGACCCAATTAGACAAAATAATATAATTTACAAAATACCCTGCAATGACTGTGAGGTCAACTACATAGGTCAAACTAGTAGGTCAGGGGTAGTCAGATTGTCAGATCATAAGAATTTAGCTAAGGTAAGAATGGTTGACCCAGAGAACATAAGTAATTTAGAAAAAGGAACTCAGCAATTGCAATGCATGCATTAACACACAACCACACAATAGGGTGGGAGAGGGTTAAAATTCTAAAAAGTAATCTAGGTAGGTGGAGAGAGAGGTTGATTACTGAATCTTTGTTCATCGAATCTACACCCAACACATGCAACAGAAATGATTCATCACTCATACCCGAAATATGAAAAATATTACTACCAATCAAATCAAGTGAAAAACAATGGAGCTATATAAATGAATTTAGGAAGTCGTGTGATTACCTTGATATGATTATGAGCAATAAATTGTGCTTGAAACGTCATCAGTAAATATTACTGTATAACACTGTGAGACTCTATCAAAACAAAATTTACCCATAATGGAATTACACTCTACCACAGTGCACAAGTTTTATTCTTATATCAATGAGAGAATTCGTTGTACTTTTGGGGATTGTTTTCCTTATCTATCCACTTATTGCAATTTTTATTGTTCACCCTTCGTCGGTTGGTTGGCGAACAATCGTTGTGTTGCTTGATTTTTATGGCTGACTTCGATTCGTTGGAGTGAACTGCTCTCTGGAAGTGTGTGTGTTAAATAGGGGGAGGGAGGGAGAGTAATGTTCCTGAGAAGTTTGTTAACATCCTGAAAGCGATATCTCGAAACTCCTCGTGTAGAGTGACTGACTGACTGATTGACTGGTTTCAACATAGAACTTTGCACCGATGTGCAGCAGTTCAAGTCACCACACTCCCTCCGTGTAGCACATAGAGAAAGAGAAGAAACTAAAAAGGAATGCAAAATAGAGGCAGTAAACAGAGATATGAAACAAAAAGTATAGTAATATGCAAAAACAATATAGTTTCATTGGGTATTATAAGTCACAAGGAGTGGATGCATCTGCGCCAGCCATTGACAGCTACGATTTTGAGTCATATCACCAATTGTTTCCAGCCCTCATTGGTTTTCACCGTCCCCGACGACCCCAACCAGTAAGTCTACATCTTCCTACGTGGCTTAACTAACTGTTGTGGATTTCATTGACTGATGAAGCCATGTTATGGTTTGACCACCACTGGCTAACTCTTTTCCAACTTGATCCTATGTCAGCTAATATTGCCCGTCGTCGAGGAAGGCGATGACTAGGCGAGACATGCGTAACACATGTCGTAACCATCCCAATCGATGCACAGCCTCGTCGAATGATTTCCTCTCCCACCTACCTAGCACTCGACCGATGCCTTACCTCAATATTGCTCACCCTATCATGCCACTTCACACGGGAGATAGAACGCAGGGACCTATGATCAAAGTCAGCTAGCTGGCCTTTTCATGTGTTCCACTTTCAATGGTCATGTCTCACAGCCAGCCATAAAGGAGGACGGAGCGAACTGCTGCATTGCAGTACATACACCCTTTGGTCGACAGCCAGTCGGATATCACGTCTACACCAAACGACGGCTTAAACTGGCATATGCGAAACGAAACTCTCATGTAGAATGAGAGTGTACAACTAGCCAGCTATCCTTCACCACTGTGACCGACAAACACTGGGGCTAGACAAGGTTGGACGATCTCTCTCCATTTCTCAATAACTGAATCAGCTGGGGATTAGGGTCTGTAAGTATGGTATGTGGTTTTCACCGTGTGAGTATAAAGTGACGAAGGATATCTTCAATGAACGATATATTAAAAGGTAGGGCTAGATGATGGATACGCGAATTTGATCCACCTGTGACGCTGTTGCGACATGATCCATATGATGATAATTTTTAGTCTGCTTGAAAGATTTGAGATTATGCTGACAAATTGGTGTAGCTGTAAGAAGAAATGCGGCGGTGGCATTGCTGCTGCCTTCATCATCAGTTCTCAGTGGTCTACTTCCAAGTGACAAAATCGACTGCATTATCATTTAAATGTCGACGGAGACATATGTCTAAATATTTATTGAATTTTGTTGTAGTCAGTGAGAGCCATCCTTATTTTGGTGATGAATTGACTTGGTTTTTTGTCATCTCTCTTGGCAACTGTTTGTGAATAGTTAATGGAGGTTTCAATTCCTGTGACTACAGCTCCATTAAATCAATAGATCACAAACATTAGAGCTATTATTATTATCCTCCTGGCTGTCACTGGTGGAGCAGCTTTGCTGCACTCTTGTGAAATCTGGTCTCCGTGAGCTTAGACGGCGACTGTGCGTATTCGATGGTTTCTGCCCACGTAGAATTGCTTTCCTCTGATGGAATCATCGTGTAAGAAATTCTGAGGTCGTGGAAGCATGTGTTTCGACATGGTAGAGGTTCTCAGTCATTGAATGTAGTCATCCTGAAACACCAACTCCGGCGGCTTGTACATCTGCTAGGGATGTCATCCTAGAGGCTCATGTAGTGGTTACTGTTCGCTAGCTCTGAGACTAGACTGAACACGTGGAGTGGTGGTTAGCTCATGAAGTGGCACTCTGGGATGGAAGGTATTTGCGTTGGGTTAGCATCACTAGTTGGTACATCACAACTCCCTGCCTCTCTGGTTGGGATGTGTGAGATAGTTCAAATCGATGGGTCGATCGATACATTATCAGATGATGTGGTCAAGAATTTCTATGAGTTGCAAACATGCTACAATTTCCTCCTTTCCTTCTCTTTCTGAAAATACCTTGAAGTGGTGACATGTTGAATGATCCTGACAAGGATGCTTTCTGGATGGCGTCCCTCATTCACCTATTCTCTTCCTATTTTCTTTATGTTTCTCTTGGTGCCCATAATGTGTAACAAAGTTTGTGTTTTAGATAAGTGAAAAAATTTCTGTTGCTATATTGATTATTTACAGGATTTCATCATGAGCTGACATTAGTTAGAGAGCCATTGGAAAACCAGCAGGGAGTACTGGACAGCTGTTTCGTCCTAGTTTGGGACTCTTCATCAGGGCGCATCCACCTGGGATTCTAGTGAGAAGTCGTGACCAATAGGGTGCAGCAGGTCGGGTGTGAGGACAAATACTCGCCGAAGATATTGGCTAGGGGTCGCGCTATGTCGTGAATTGGCAGAAGTTAGAATTCATGGGCTGGCCATTGGATCGGGTCCCAGTGGCTTAATGGTCTACGAGCTCGCTAGCCTTGTAACCAGAAGGTCCTGGGTTCGAATCCCGCATTGTGGGGTGCGTACTGATGAAGAGTCCCAAACTAGGCTGATGAAACAGGTGGCTGTCCAGTACTCCCAGGTTTTCCAATGGTTCTCTAACTAATGTCAGCTCATGATGAAATCCTGTAACCAATCAAATCCCTACAAACCAACACTTGAATATTGATTATCATTTTAGCCTTCTTCGATTACAATTGAGAACAATATCTGCCTCATGGCGTCTATGCCGTAATAGTTCTAAATGGAATCCATTACGTCATCGTGTTGATAAAATACCCGATATGTATATCGATCCAAATGAAGTCCTGTTATCGATTAGTTCATTACAGAAGAAAATTTCACTGTCATCATCATCATCATTAGCATCGTCATCGTCGTATTCAGCACCTCCATCGTCACCATCATCATTATCATCGTGGAGAAGATTATGGACAGGGGACAATGGGAGAAGTAGAAAAGAAGTCATATGTGGGAGACGGAGAAGTGGTGCAGGGGACAAAGAAGTCGTCAGAACAACCTGTTGTTGTCCAAAACAAAAAGACAGGTGGAGAAGAAGATACACTGTATAAATTTGTAACAAATAAACAAAATTCTGATATGTTATTCGATCAGCTGACGAGGCAGAAATGTGGTGTATACCTTGATCGTTTATTGGTATCGACTTTATTGGGTCTTGGTATTGGTTTGTGTTTATTCTCAACGACAATAGCATTTTATATTACATTCACATGTGTAAGTTGAAAGTGTATTTGTTATTCGCATGAAGCTTATTATTATTATTCCATATTAGTTTGTTTATTAGATGTATCACACAGTGAAACAGTATTATTTACTGGATGACACAGTTTCGAACACAATTTACTACTGTTCATAATCATGCCATCAATTATAATCACACGACTTCGAAACTTGAGTTTTGTAGTTCTCTTTGTTCTCTCCTATTTGTCGTCGTTGGGGTAGTAGAATTTTCCAGATGTCTGGCTGGACAGGTGTTGAATCATTCCTATTACACGTGTTGGTTTGCAGTTGATTCGATAAACAAAGCTTCCGTTATCAATCTCTCCCTATACTCTATGACATTAGCTTTTAAAACTGTCATCTTATTCCATCATCATACTGTATGGTTGTGTGTAATTGCATGTAGTGAGTGATATAGCTGAACTATTCTCTAGATTTCTTATCTAACTCGGGTCAACTAATCTAGATTTTGCTGCTAGGTTTTAATGCTCCGCTAGTCTGACTGCCCCTACTCTACTAATTTGACCTATGTATTTGACCTGACAATCATCGCAGGCAGGGTATTAGATAAACTAAATTGTTTGATTTTAAAGGCTCCACAGGCAGGATCGTTTAGCCGACAAAGCTTGTTTCTAATTGAGTTTGTGGGTGGCTTGAATGCCAGCCACTATTATTTCTGCCTTGTTAAGAATTCTGAGAAAGGTTTCCGAGGTTCCTTTCTTGTATGGAATTACTACTGATGATTTAGATTCCTTATTGGTGGTGTCGTCATTATCTTGCGCATGTTTGACATGCACGCCGTCATTAATATTACTATTATTATTTATTTTATTTTTACATTTGCCTACATACTTTCTGACTAATTTATCAGGGTAATTATTACTACCACAGTGCCCAAGTTTTACACATATTGCATGGAGGATTTCATCATGAACTGACATCAGTTTGAGAACCACTGGAAAACCTGGGAGTACTGGACAGCTGTTTCGTCCTAGTTTGGGACTCTTCATCAGTACGCACCCACACTGTGGGGTTCGAACCCAGGACCTTCTGGTTACAAGGCGAGCTCGTAGACCATTGAGCCACTGAGACCTGATCCAATGGTCCTTGAATTTTAACTTCTGCCAGTCCACGACATAGCGCCACCATTTCTCAATGTCTTCGATGAGTTACTGCCTCATCTCATTATTATTATTATTGTATAATTGTCTTTAGTTCCGACTGTAATATGTAGGTCCTGAACAGCATACCTCCATTTCACCCTATCATACAGTCCTGTTCAGCGGGATGCACGATTGCCTGTAGGCTTTCATCTCCTCCTCACACTGTTTCCTCCATGTCACCTCAAAACCCATGCTCAACTCTATGCTTTCCATCTAGGCTCCACTCGATGGTCTTCTTGGCTGCTGGCGTGTGATGTTACCCAGCTGTTTTCTCAATGCATTTTCAAAACATTCATCTCTGTCTTCTTCTGCATATCTCTTGGACAATAGATTGTTGGTTGGTTGGTTTTCATCCAGAGTTCCACATTTCTAATCCACTCTGAGAGGCCATATGATCTTTGGTATGGATCTTTGGTATTTATGAAAGTCTTCAGACGCTTCTTGGAAATGCTTCTATTAAGAAAGTTCACTAAGTCTTTGAAACCATGTAGAAGCATTGTTTATGCTGAATGCAGTAGATTTCCACTTGGATTTCAGATTTATGAAGGTGCTGTTGCGCTGTTTTTTTAGCATGACTAGCTAGATGGCTTTATTATACTGATCTTTTACGGCAGACTGTATTTGGAGCGATGTTGTCGTAGAGTGGTAGGTGAAAAAGGCGACTTCCTTCAAATGTCTCCCGTTGATGGTGATTGGTGCTTGTTGTTTTTGTTGCTTGATGCTTATCTTCATCACTTACCTGTGTCTCTCCTATGTTTATTATTTATTATTATTGTCCCCTTGGGTTCCTAGTGGAACATAGGGCTTCAACTGCACGTCTCCACTTGTTTCTGTCTTCTACTGTACTTTACACCTGCATCCATGTTAGTCCATACTGTTTCAGTTCCTGTTCACACGATCTCCTCCATATCACCCTTGCACTGATGTCCCACTTGCCGCTTCCCTTTCGGGTTCCACTCGAGCACTGGCCTGACGCGCGATGTCACCCAGCGACCTCCTCAGCGAGTGTCCAATCCATCTCCACTTTCTCCTGCATATTTGTTGAGCGATTGGTTCTTGTTTTGTTTGTTCCCGTCGTTTCTTGTTGGTGATTCTTTCCGCCATCTCATCTTCAGTATAGAGCGAAGGCAGCTGTTGATAAAGGTCAGCAACAGGCTATTGGAAATATTCTTTGTGACCTGCCAAGTTTCTGATCCGTATAGAAGAACTGACTGACTTGACGTTTGTATTGAAAATCCGAATTTTGTTGTTGAGTGTTGCTGAGTGACGAAGATTTCCAGATTGGTTTCAGGTTGATGAATGTGTTTCTCGCCTTCCCGATTCTCGATTTGACATCCTCGTCGTCGGTTCCTCCTGTAGTTGAGACGATGCTCCCTACCTAGATAGGTGAATGAAATAACCTCCTATGTTAAAATATATTAAATATTCCCATAGTAAAATTTAGAACAACACATTTAAGCGAACAGTATTGTGCTTTCAATTAGATCTCATCAGGCTTAACTCTAATATACCCACATAACTGTACAAATAAAAATTCAAATATTAACCAATCATGGTGTTTTGTCTATAGGATAATAAGATGGTGAATATAAATTGTGCAATTAGTCATAATAGTAGTAATGATAGTAATAATAATAATGGTTTTATCAATAATAAGGATGAAGAAGTGAGGCAATCTGTGATAACACGAATAATGAAAAACAGCATGATTAAACAAACAAATGTTCAGGTAGAAATAGTAGTCGATAAAGGCTAATAAAATCAAATGAACCGATTAAATAATGCTAGATTGTAAGGGAAGTAAGTGAAACACGTTTTTAATGAAGATGTGATAAGATTAAGGGATGATAAGAGAGGGGTTCAAAATATAAGTAAGGGGCAGGGGTGGAGAAGTCATCAGTTGGTTAGTTGTTAATAGGCCAAGGGAGGGGTAATGGCTGTACGAACTTCTTTTGAATGCATAGTTTAGGTTTAATAGTTCGAATGCCTATCGCCTGCCTCAGCTGTGTGCAGTAGACGAATACGAAGTCTATTGGAAAGATTCGGTGGGATACGATGAATTACTTTGAAAGCTCTTGTTTTCTCCACTACATGACCACTATCAATTAAATGTGACAAAATTGAGCTACGGATTGTTTTTGTCTGTCCTTTACCAAACCACGATGGGAGATGTTCAGTAGTGACACGTTGGCTAAGCTGTCTGGTAGTACGCCCAACATAACTGTCACCGCAGGTGCAGCTGAATTGATAAATGCACATAGATGTAGCAAAACTATCTAGCTTATCCTTCGTTTGCGCCCCAACCATTCGTCGGCTAGAGAATGACAAACATAGGTATGCTGCATAAAACGTTCTTCGTATGCTCCTGGAAAGTCTCTGGAATAAAATCTCACTTGATAAGTCACCATTAAATTGTAACTTAATAAATAGAGGCTTTTTACGTGCAGTCAGAGTCTCAGGCTTTCTCTCTGATGTTTTCATATGTTTCTTTATGAAACTACTCGGATAGCCCATCTCCGTCAAGGAATCGTGAATATATTCAAATTCCTATGTTTACCTGAAGTCCCGATTTCGCTATCTGGCTTTCCTACCAAGTTGTAGGTTTTTGCCCGGTGAACTTGAAGTTTGTTTGACATCAGTCATGAACAGTCTGCGAAGTAATTAATCGCTCTTTTACTCTGCCCATTTTTAGTTCAGCAGTGTTTGTTTCTACAGGGCGGGGCGGGGTAGAGTAAGGTCCCAACATTCATGCTGGCCAAACTTTCCTTTTTTTCCCCAGACTTACTATCACCTAGTAAGTCAGGCGAGGTTTAGGGTTGATACGTCGACGAGGAATTGAATCCGGACGACATAGGTGGCTGGCTAACGAGCCTTCCCATCACTGGAAGCATCGATGCAAAATGATGTCTCCAGGGATATTTATTCCGCCCACTGTGCTGCTGTTGTGCTGTGTTGAGTTGTTTAGTCATTGTGAGCTGGATGCGTTACTACTATATTTGTGAAGCCTTCATTTCATTGTCATTGTGAACAATGTGTTGTCCAGAGAGACGACTTAGAGTTTCCGGGTGAGATTGAATTCCCCTGGCCAAAGTGACTGTGAGTGGTCGATAAGCTTCTTGGTCTCGTCACCTGAATGAGGCCCCTGACTTGTATTCCTTTACACTGCGGTAATCGGCGCAAACCGTGAAGAGTCCCAAAGAAGGACGAAACAGCTGGCTAACTAGCCAGTTAGCTAGTTGTCCGGTTCTCCCTACTGACTTTCAGTGATCTCTCCACCTGATACCGGTTCATGACGAAATCTAATCACTGGAATTCAGAAGCTTCTCAGTTGGACAATCTAGCTGGGAGGTAGAGGAGGTGAAGGGGGAGGACACAAACAGTTGTTGACGAGCAGCAGATTTTCATGTAATTACTGACTTGCGTCATTATTTGTTTCCTTATCCGATGGAAGAAAGGGGTATTAAATTACCCTTTTTTTATTCGAATTGTATATTCCCCTCAACAGAAATCTTTTATCGTCTGATCTGTTGTATGTGTTGTTGTTGTTGTTGTTTTACTACAGATCCAGTTATGTTTATTACTTGTAAAGAATATTTTAAAATGTACAGTTTGGTTTATTATGGACTTTCCATTGGAATCAATCGTGTTATGGACATGTAATAGTCCTTATTATAAAAGTGAGTTTATATTGTGAACATTTATTGATTTAATATCAGTAAAAAGTTTGAGTATTGTGGAATATATCAAATAAAGTATAATTATATTTCAGTAGTTTACACACAGTGATAAGTTTTCTTATCGGTAATATTTCGAGCAAAATTACTGCCCATGTTCACACACCAACTGTTGGAATTGTTTTGTTTTTTAATTCACACATTTATGATCTGTACTCACATATATATAGTTCATTTTTATTTGTTCATTCATTTTCGTCTATTCAGAATTATATTTTAAGTTGTTGACAGTTGTGCTGCTGAATCACCCATGTTACATGTGTCCGGTGTGACCTTAATGAATATAGATTCTGTTATAAGTCTTTCTTTCCATTTGTTCATGTTAGTTTTTAGAATACACACATTGTCCCAATCGATATTGTGGATTTTGTCCCATGCGTTTTATCTAAATTCTTGTAAGCTTCTTTTCCTGTGGGATGACCTTTAGTCAGGGGTTTATGTTCATTCACTCTTATTTTGAGTGATCTGCACTTTTGACCCACATATTTAGTTGGACAGTCAGCACAAGATATTTTGTAAATCAAGTTGTTTTTATCCATCATTTTTATGGGATCTTTCAGTGGATTTATTTTATTTTTGATTAGATTCGTCGGTTTGAAGGTTGTGTGAATGCCGATATTTTTGAGGTTTCTTTGAATTGTCTCTTGTATTAATCCTTGTTTTACCGTGAGTGGATGAGCTGACTGATAATCAAGGAATCTTCCAGAGTGTGTAGTTTTTCTATATAGCGTCGTTTTGTATTTTGCAGTCTAACATAGGCAGTTCCACAATTTCATTCTCTACTTCCATAGTGAATTTTATTGAGTTGAGATGGCTGTTTATGTGTGAGAAGAGTTTCTCAATATCGTGTTTTTCACTATTACTAGTGTGTCGTCTACATATCTCCAACAACATTTTAGTGATGACCTGAATGTTCGCTTGCTTTGTGTGCATCAGTGGCACAGTGGTTAGGACCGTCGCCGACCATGCACATGGTCCGGGGTTCGATCCCCTGCCGACGCACACCCGATATCTATGGTGGGCCTGCAAAATTTGGGCTACCGATATCCATGCTGAAAATTCCATACTTGTACTGAAAATACTGTGTGGCATCAAGCTGTAATCAAAAATAAAAATGAAATAAATGTTTTAAGGGCATTCTCTTCCCAATAATCCATGAATATGTCAGCTATTATTGGTGAGATAGGCGATCCTATAGCTACTCCTTCATTTTGTTGGTATATTTTCCCTTCGAATGTAAAATATGTTGTTGTCTTTCACCCCTTTTATTATCTCTTCTGCGGATAACTGTGTCCTGTCTTTTAGGACATCATCTTCTTTTAGTCTCGTTTTCAGTACATTCATGGCTATTTGAATGGGTATTTTAGTATAGAGACTGTTTACATCAATTTTTAGTATTCTAAAAACTTGTATGAACCAATGGGAAGAGAGACTCAACAGAACTGTCAACAACCTGGAATATAATTTTGAATACACGAAAATAAATGAACTATATATATGTGTGAGTACAAATCATAAATGTGTGAATTAAAAAAATACAAAACAATTCCAACAGTTGGTGTGTGAACACGGGCAGTAATTTTGCTCGAAATATTACCAATAACAAAACTTATCATTGTGTGTAAACCATGGAAATATAACTGTACTTTGTTTTATTTATTGATTGGTTGATCATTTTCTCTCCCTTCGACATTGTCACAAAACGTGTCGGTGGTATCGTTTTGTAGGTGGTTGTCATTAGGAGAATGGTGATTGGAACTGTGTAGCTTCGGAAATCTGCCGAGTAGAAAGCTCATCAGCTCAGGAGACTCGTAAACTACCCGGGTGTATTGACAGTCGTGTGTTGGTGACCATAGTTTGAGTTGTTCCCCTAGTGGGTTTTTGTCGGCGACTTGATACGATGATTGGAACCAGTTGACAAATTCTCTTAGTCCAATGAGAATCCACACTTAGGCAGTATGCACAGACTTGTGACGATAGGACTCGATGGGTGAAATTTGTTTTTGCCCATTACGAAACAGTTTCAACGCTGTATTTCGGATGGTGTGAGGTTAATAGCCACTTGTTACCGAAACATTAGTCAGTAGTCAGTAGCGATACTGGGATCGTGAAGCCGACTGAATAGTTCCTAGAGGTCATGCTTTGACGCGAATGGTAGTCAAAAGTTTCGAATGAAACTCATAGCTTGTTGTCGAGGATAATTTGTTTCTGTGACCTGCCTTATTTGCTGTGCCGTTATAAGCAGCTCATGCGAGCGAAACCGTGAGAGTAACTCTCTGTCTTGAGAGAAGCAATAACCGTCTTGTCGTCGTTTGAGAAAAGATAACCACCTGTTAGTCGTGAGATAGAGAGAATGTGGTTGGGAAATATCTTGTGTGGGGTGATATTTGATGTTGAAGTGATACACCAGTAATGTGACTGTCGAGTGTTGTAGTCTGTTTCCTGAGTGAATAGGGGAGCCTTTCTTTCCATCGAAATGGAGAAATGAGAGACTCCTGGTCTCTGTGAGAAAGGCAAATCCCACGTCGCATGGCATCTTTGGGAACTTCCAAACTGCGTAGACTAATGCAAGTGCCTCCTTGTCTATTTGTGCGTAATGAGTCTCCGCGGCAGAGAGTGATTATGAGATGTGGTAACGGCGTGTTTTGAGTTTTGTGACAAAGTGCATGCATTAATTCGTCACAAGCTTTGAAGATGCATTGCCATAGAACTGTAACTGCTAATGATGTTGGATTGTGCGGCTGTTGGGTCAGGTAAACTGTTTTCCGAATTGCTCTGTACAGAGTTCTAGGTGACTTTTCACGTTGGTAATTGGCGTTGCATCTCTTTACAGACGGTCTCGCTGATACGATTCTACTTGATGACGGTGGCTTTGATGAGGTGGAACAGCTACCGGTTACTGAGAGATGCAGTTGCTGATCTCATCTTATATGTACGTTCCTTTTCCTGTAGATAGGCACCCAACTATAAAAATTAGTTAGTTGTCCGTTCCATGTACGCTTCCGGTGGATGGATCTTTTGAGAGATTCGTCGTTACGTCTACTATGGCACACATCAAGAAACGGAATACTTAGTTCAGATTCCTTTTCTATGGTGAATTGTAAGGAGGGATGGCAGTTGTTGAAAGCAAACAAGACATCATCAAGAATTACATTATTATTGCAGATATAACTATAACTATCTATATATGTGGTGATTTTATAATCTAAAGTGTCACACTATGAGCGATGAAGTGGTCTTCAGTTTTCATGATTACTTCTGTATAAATAATCAATATTGCATAAGTATAAGCCAGTTTGAATGAAATCGATTGTGTTTATTATTGATTTTTCTCGGAAATTAGTCAGTGGTCCTCTTCAAACGGTCTTAAGCTGAATCCGTCTAAATGTCAGGTAGTAAATTTTACTTTCAGACGAAAAAGTGACCTTCAACAACTAGCTAGCTCACATGGTCCCACTATCATTGACGGCATAGAGGTTGAAACTACATCTAATGTCAAGTACCTTGGACTGAATATTTCCTCCGATCTTTCCTGGTCCTCTCACATCTTGTTAGTGACTAGAAAGCTGTTTCGCTTAACGTTCTACGTTAGGAAGTTTAGGCAGTCTGGTATAAAGCAGTCTTTGCTTTCTCAGTTTGTCAATTCTTGTATTCTACCCATCCCTCTTTACTGCTCACCATTAATCTTCCCTGGGCTACTTAAGAAAGACTTTGCTTCTCTGCATAGGGCACTAAAAGCTGTTAGTAGGGCAAGTGGGATTTCGTTAAACCAACTGGTTAACACAATTGTGGACAGACATATAATGTGATGTAAGAGACTAGCGAATTCTATATTGTCAGACCCCGAACACCCTCTCCACACGCAGCTCTCTCCTTGCATTTCATCTGGTAGAACTAGAAGCAACTATAGGAAGCTATATGCCAGGACTACCAAGTATAAAAACTCCACTATACCTTATCTGGCACAGCTGTTATGTGATGAGAAAAATGTTAGGCACGACACGATCACCTTACTGCGGCACTCTAACAAATAGTTCCCATTAGCTTTTGTTCTCCTTTCTTTGTTACTATTATATTGTTGCTCATATATTCTATTTACAGACCAATCTTATATATCATATCCTGTGGTGCATTGTTTAAATATGTGAATGCAATGCTGTTCTTTTTTTATTTCTTTTATTTCTCTTTTTGTTGTTGTTGCTTTATATTTTTAAATCCTTATAAAATTTATGAGGTAATTAGATGCAATATTGTAATGAACGCTGAAAATTCCATACCTGTACCACAAATACTGTTTGGAATAAAGCCATTATTATTATTCTCTCTCTCTCTCTCTTCAGCTAAACTAATTATAGAAGCGCCTAAAATGAACTCGAAGCATTTCAAGTGTTTACGATTGAAAGTAAGTACAATGTCCACTAATTAATATTGTTATTATAGTGAATTGTTATTTACTTAAGATATTGTATATGTACAGGTTTGATGACAAGCTGGTTGATATGAGTTAGGGGGGAAGCCCTGGGAAAACCTGCTGGGAGTACTGAACAGTCGTTTCTTCTTTCCAGATTGCGACTCTTCGGTAGTAAGCACCCACATTGTGTTGATGGAACCCAGTACTTTCGGATTAGAAGATGGCTTGCTCGTGGACCCTTCATCCACTGTGACCCAATTGGATATTCCAGGAATTCCATCTCCTGCCATTTGGCGATATATAGCGAGCTTAACCACCAGCCAATACAATATTGATAGATTTCCAAATGAAATGGTTGAATTTCTGACCCATAGATACTTTATTGACGTGGTGGTCAGGCCTGCATATATCGAAGTGACCCAACGGGGGCTGCATTGAGCTAGAATGAGTTTTTTCCATAGGTCCACTGGTGCCAGAAAGGTCGTTTTGATTGATAGCATCTAGAATATAAACAGAAGTCGCAGTCATATAGTGTAGGCGGTTTACACTATACTGGGGCTATGACGGCGATGTCCTGCTGATGGAAATAGATATGTAACAATAGTAAGGTGTTTCCATAAGATGGCCAATAAGCCAACTGTTCTACTTATCCTCTGTGGGAGAGGCACCGTGGTGATAAAACGTCGACCCCATAAGTTGCATTAGTCCTTAACCGGTTGTAAGTCCTTAATACGGAGATCACTGCGAAAACCACTTAAAACAGGCTTTGTGAGACCAGCGTCAAGCGGTTGTACTCTGGGTACCACGGTCACTCAACACTACTGCTTTTTCCATTTGGTGTTATTTTGGAGAAGAAATCAACATCTGTGGTTAGGGTAGTCGGGAAAGTTACTACCATCCAAAACTCTTCCTTTATGGATAAAAGGCTTTCCCGATCGTCAACACCCACCCCTATATCTATTACCATCTTTTGCTTCCCTTCCACTGGGAATATTACTTCACAGGTCCGATGGTTGGACACCTTCTGTCAACTCTATAATCAGTAATAGTGACAAAAGGTGGGAAAGCACTACTGATTGCAGGATTGGACTTCACCGACTCCTAGATTAGAAATAGGAAGTGAAGTGGTAGAGCACGTTGACCGCTTCACTTACTTGGGAAGTACCATCACCCCCAACGGGTTGATCTCCGATGAAATCTCAGCACGAATACAAAGGGCTGGTTTCGGATATGCCAGTTTACGCTGTCTCTGGCGTAGACGTGATATCCGACTATCGACCAAAGGGCGTGTGTACTGCTCATCAGTCCGCTCCGTCCTCCTTTATGTCTGTGAGACCTGGCCATTGAGAGTGGAAGACATGAAAAGATTAGCTGTCTTTGATCATAGATGTCTGCGTTCTATCTCCCGTGTGAAGTGGTATGATAAGGTGAGCGATATTGAGGTTAGGCGTCGAGTGCTAGGTAAGGAGGGAAAATCAGTCGACGAAACTGTGAAATCACATCGACTGAGATGGTTAGGACATGTGTTACGTATGCCTAGTCATCGCCTTCCTCGACTGACGGGCAATGTTAGCTGATATAGGGTCAGGCTGGAAAAGAGCTAGCGGCGGTCAAACGAAAACATGACACCAGTCAGTGAAATCTACAACAGTTCGTTTAAGCCATGTAGGGAGATGTAGACTTCCTGGTTGCGGTCCTTGGGATGGTAAACACCAATGTTTGGAAACAATTGGTGACATGGCTCAAAATCGTTGTCAGTGGCGCAGATGCATCCACTCCTTGTGACTTATGATTTCCAATGAAACTGTTTTGTTCTTCGTTATTACTATTCCTTTGTCTCACACCTCTGTTTACTGTCTCTCTATTATGCATTTCTCCTACTTTCTTCTCTTGCTTTGTGTGCTACATGAAGGGAGTGTGGCGACTTGAACTGCCGCACATATGTGCAAGGTTCTATGTCGAAAACCGACCCACCGACTGCTGATAGTCTCATGAAAGCATGTTACCAACTTTTTATCGGCATGTTCAACGTTAAGCTCTTCTATCAAATTGGACATCAGGCATCTCTAGCCAGAAATCTGTTATCTCGAGCTATGCATGCATGTACTTTGTGTTTTGGAGAGATGCATAACAGACACAAGTGTGTTGTATCACTTTACTCCACCTGACTAACATGAAGGTGAATGTGTAAAATTCATGCTACCGGTGTCAGGAGGAGATTGATTTTTCGATTGGTTGGCGAGGAGTGGATTGTGTAGGAATCAGGTCGACTGGTAGGGTAGAAAAATCGCGACTTGGCTGATTCCAAGTGGATTGCCGCATGTGTGTGTGTGGTGTCTGTCTGAACAGATTCTTGAGAATGAAAAGTTTCCGCTTACACTCCCGACTGACTGGAGATCGGACGAAACTAAGAAACTGGGTTTGTATCAGAGGGTGTGTTTAGTTTGCTTGTTGAAGCTTCAATGATGGCGAAGTAGGAAGGGAAGCTGTAAATGAAAGTGTATCTTGGGGCACGTGTGGAGTTCTACGACGAAGAACAGCTGGTAAACAGCCATCGTGTTTTACAGTTGTCTTCAGATCATCACCGTCATCATCTGTTCTTTGTCAGCTCGAAATTGAAAGATAAAGGGAACCATTGCCTAAGCTGGAGGATGACCTCCATCTTGAAATGAACGATGAACTCACTTATATGCATAGAGCCAGTTTATAGGGATTTGAATTATTTGAATTTCGGTCACAGATTGATGTCAGTTTAGAGCCTGAATAGCTCAGTGGTAACGTCTCTGACTGCAGCACTGGGTGACGCGGATTCGAATCTCAGAAGGGACATAAGTTCCTTCAAGGTTGAAGATACATCCTGCTGATGAGTGCCAACTAGCACGAAACATAGTTCAAGCTGGACTTCCTGCCGATTACCTCCACATATCTAATTATGCTTCGGTGGCATAGCGGTTAGGACGCTCACCGATCATGCACACGGTCCGGGGTTCGATCCCCGACCGACGCACTCCTTCACCTCGCTAAGCCAGAAATAAAGCTGGTAAAGAGTAAAGGTTGGGCATGAGGCTAGCAACCCCATCCTGTAAAAATAATCACCATTGCTACAGAAACTTGAAGCCCTATGTTCCACTGGGAACGTGAAGGAATAAAAAAAATTGGTGTCAGTTAGAGAAGCATTGAAAATCAACTTCGAGTAGTGTACAGCTGTTGCGTCCGGGTTTTGTGAGAAGGAGGAAGAGTACAAGCCCACATCTCAGGGTTTGAATCCAAGTCCTTTTGATTACAAGGTGAGCTCGTAGAGGTCCATGAATTCCAACTTCTACCATTTTGTGAATTTAGCTTGAACACCAGCCGTTGTCATCGGCAAGTATTTGTCCTCACTCTCGACCTGGTTTTTGGTATCTGTTATTTATTCTACACTGTTCTGTATTTTGTTTTTATTGATTTTATTTTCATTTTTTATGTACTTCCAGCTGACAAGAATCGATTTCCATGAAATGTATGCTGAAAGTCATCTAGTACGGAAAGCTTTATTTTCAAAAGGTTTATCCTTCAGAGAATTACTCCATCGTGTTATATGTGCAGAAGATATTCGATAGAGAGAGGGGAGGAAGGGAAAAATCAATAAACCTGAGGAAGAAGTCCACTTCACACACACACACAAAATGCAGACCAAATTCGCAATATAAAATATAATATGTCACTTTGTATTTCAGAGGGAGAGACAGCGTGTGTGTGTGTTCTCATCGTCCGCTGTGCAGACTACCTGAAATCAAATTAGACATCTTGTAGATAGATAGACACCAGGACATTTTAATCGAAATCTCCAAATCTCGATTGCAATGAAACATCGTTTTCAATCAAACTTATGTAGTACAGTATACAAAAATGAAGTGTGTTCAATCTCTTTCTCTCTCTGTTTGTCTCTCACTGCCTTTTGGTAACTTCCCTTTTGATTTTGACTCCATCTGATAGTCAGATCATCCATATTAGTGGTGATTTGAGTTGTTTATTTTTTCGACTTAGTTGATCTCCAGCTTATGAAGTGTAATTTCGTCGAGTTGTGTGATGTAATCTTGTAAACTGTGTGAAGAGTGTTCAATTATTATTATCTTTCTGTTTATTGTTTTCTGTCTTCTCCTCCGCCCACCGCCCCCCCTTTCCTGTTCTCAAACTCAAACTGGAAATTTTGATACTCACATGTTTGGAATGCTTTCTATGCATATAAGAGATTTTCGCCTTTTATCCTTCCTCTCTAGACATTGAAGAGATCTGCGTTATTTTCATTCCCCCTGTGTTTATTGGTCATTGTCATTTCAGGTTGGTCTGTGCAGCTGACGACTGTCTGATGATGAGAACCTCATTGTGTGAAATACAAAGTGATGATATTTCATCATCTTGAAACTGTGATGTTTCTTTTTCTATATCGAAATAATCAATAATGTTTTGTTATTGATTTTTTTTAATTTACTTTTTTATTGTGTATATATTTTTTGTGGTCGTCATTTTTATTTATTTTATTTACTTTCAATGTGTTTTAATTGTTGCATACATTACATATATGTGTGTGTTACGTAATCGTAGTTATTGTGTAAATACATTTATGCCTTGTTTATATGTATATTTAATTGTAATTTAATTGAGCGCGCGTCATTTGAATTAGTTTCGGTTCTTTTTCTACAAAATCCACTATGGTAGGATTTACATATTTAGAAAAGTAAAATGGGAGGGGAATGAACTCAAACTTGATTTATACTACACTCTGACTGACTGACTAACGATTGAGTTTCAAGACAGAACTTTGCACAGAAGTGTGGCAGTTCAAGGTGCTACACGCCATTAGTAGATGGAAACACATGTAAGTTTAGTAAATATGGGAGATCATAATGACTGAATGCATCTGCGCCACTGAGAACGATTTTGCGCCATATCACAAACAGTTTCCAGCCATTGGTTTTTTAGAATCCTGAACATCCCAACCAGGTAGCTTACACCTCCGTACGTCGTTGGCTCAAACTGATTGTCAGACTCCATAAATTGATGACAGGCTTTAGTTTGACAATCCATTACCCTAGTCCTATGTTAGCCTAACATTGACCAGCCGATCAGGCAGCCTACACCTGCCTACCTGGTGTTTTCCAACCCAATATCACAGATTTCATGGATTCATGACAGACTTTGATCTGACCATCTATAGCTCTTTTCCAACCCAAGCGTATATTATTTCACATTGCTTGTCGATGAAGGCGATGGCTTGAAATACGTAACACGTGTCTCCTTGCCATTTCAGTCGATTTAGCTTCACAACCTCATCGATTGACTTATCCTCACTACCCAACACTACATCTAACGTGAATATTAGTCATAATATTAAACGACTTAACACGAGAGATAGAACGTAAATATCAGTGGTCAAAGACAATCTGTCTTTTTCTTATCTTCCACTTTCAATGATGAAAAGGTGTCAAATGAAAACTTGACATGAATCTTTTGAAGCAGTTAGTTCCCTGTATGAATTTCGACAACACAATAAGAAGATGTATTTTATCTGAAACGTGTAATTTAGTATATTTGTGCAACACATTACGGACTTCCTGATCACACAGTGACACGAGTACTTGTCATATGTAAATGGCAAGAGAGCATGAATTTTCAAGTGTTGGTTTATAGGGATTTGATTGGTTACAAGATTTCATCATGAGGTGACATCAGTTAGAGAACCACTGGAAAACCTGGGAGTACTGGACAGCTGTTTCGTCCTAGTTTGGGACTCTTCATCAGTACACACCCACCGGGATTCGAACCCAGAACCTTCTGGTTACAAGGCAAGGTCGTATACCATTAAGCCACTGGGACCTGATCCAATGGCCCATGAATTCTATATTTAACCCTAGGCATGGTCAAATTGCTCACATTCGCAGGAAAAGAACACTGTGTGTGATAATTTGTGGTACTCTTATTATATTGCTATTATTCCTTTGGGTTTCGAGTGGAAAATACGCCTTCAACAACACTTCTCCACTTTGTTCTATTTTCTGCTCTCCTCTTCAGCTGGCTAGCTCTATGATTGTCCATAATCTCTCATCTCCTCCTCCTCATACGATCTCATCCATGTCACCCTCGTACCGACGACCCACTCGTCGCTTCCCATCAGGATTCCACTCGAGCAATGGTCTGCATTTCGCGCGACTTCATTCTACGGCCTCAGTGGCGTATACCGGGGCCATCTCCATTTTCCGCTACATATTTGTTGAGCAATTGGCTCTCGCCTGTTAGTTTGTTCCCATCCAGAGTTTCTTGTCACTAATTCTTTCAGGCCAGCAGTTTGACCTTCAATATGGAGCCAGCGAAGGCAACTGTTTACAAAAGTCTGAAGTAGCCTGCTTGAAATGTTTTTCATGACACGCAGTGCAAGTTTCTGAACCATATGGAAGAACTGATTGACTTCACATTGTCGTCGAAAGTTGGAATCCTTGTTCTTTGTGCTGGCTGATTGGAGAAGATTTCCAAACTGGTTTCAGAGTGGTGAAGATCCATCTTGCCTTGCTGATTCTGGACAGTTTTGACATCTTCATCCGTTCCGACTGCCTGTGGTTGAGACGATACTGGTTGCCTAGATAAGTGAAAGAAGTAGACTTTTGCAAATCTCTCCCACTGATGGTGACTGGTGCTTGTTATTATTGCTGTTGATTGATTGGTTATCTTCATCACCTCCGTTTTCTCTACGTTCACCTGGAGTCCTGTCTTCGCTGGTTGTTTCTTCAGCTAGTTTGTTACTTTTCGCCTGCAAGTCTTCGAGTTTGTATGACATTATTATTTATTTTAACATGTTTTATTACCCACATTTTCCTAGAAAGTTTCCCTCAATCCTCTTGCTGGAAACCATACTTATTCAATCGAGGGCTTTGGGGGAAGACTACAAAATAGGATAAGAGCGATAAACGGGTTACAAAAAAGGCTCAGCCTAAGTAACCTCGGTGAATGCATGTACAAAAACTGGTCTAACCTTAAAACTGACACCCTTCATTATAAATGGGACATAATTTTAAGTCATTTCAGTGAAAGATACCCTGTTTAATGTATTTTCATGCATTTTCTTTTAAATAAACGTCATTTTTTGTATAAAATTCACCTGTTTTATGATTGGTTGACTTAAGTTCTCTTGTGCGTTCACATCTCATGGGACGTGGTAGTTTAACTTTACCAATTTAATTACATTGTGGTGAGAGCTGGCTGCAAGCCAAAATTGTATACAGCAATTTACGTCAATGCTACCTCCCGAATCGGGGTTATGAGAAAAACAATGACTTAACGTGCGCAAACACCATTCGCAGATATACGGCTTAACTTTCTAAGAAACGGTCGCAAGCAGTACAGAATAACCTTCAGCAAGAAAACGACCAATCAGAAGACGTTGCTTCTCCTCTGACAATAATAACAGTCTTCTGAACACCTTGAGCTGCAATCTACGAATGTTTGGCATGCGATTCGCTCTTGCTCTCAAATGTCCAGGACTGGAATGGACTACATTGACTTCTAGCTTAGAAATAGGGGGTGAAGTGGTAGAGCACGTTGACCGCTCCACTTATTTGGGAATTTGCATCAGCCAACGCCAGCTATTTGATCGCTGACGAAATCTCAGCCCGGATGCAGAAGGCTAGTTTCGCATATGCCAGTTTACGCCGTCTCTGGCTTAGTAGACGTGATATCCGGCTGGCTATCGATCAAAGGACGTGTGTAATGCTCAGCAGTTCGCTCCATCCTCCTTTATCGCTGTGAGACATGGCCATTGAGAGTGGAAAATATGAAAGGTTGGCTGGCTGTCTTTGATCATAGGTGTCTGCGTTCTATCTGCCGTCTTAGTTGGTGTAATAGGGTGAGCAATATTGAGGTAAGGCATCGGTCGAGTGCTAGGTAGGTGGGAGGGGAAATCAATCGACGAGGCTTTGAAGCTTCGTCGACTGAGATGGTTAGGACATGTGTTACGCATGCCTAACTAGCCATCACCTTCCTCAACAATGGGCAATATTAACTGACGTAGGTTCTATCAGGCTGTAAAAGAGTTAGCCAGTGGTAGTCAAACGAAAACATGGAACCAGTCAATGAAGTCCACAACAGTTAGTTTAAGCCAACCAGTCATGTAGGGAGGTGTAGACTTACTGGTTGGGGTCTTCGGGAGGGAAGAAACCAATGGCTGGAAACAATCGGTGATATGGCTCAAAATCGTCGTTGTTAATGGCTGGCGCAGATGCATCCACTCCTTGTGACTTATTATACCCAATGAAACTATATTGTTCTTAGTTATTACTATTCCTTTGTCTCATATCCCTGTTTACTGTCTCTGTTATGCATTTCTTGTACTTTCTTCTCTTGCTTTGTGTGCTACATGGGGGGAGTGTGGCGACTCGAACTGCTGCACATCGGTGCAAAGTTCAATGTTGAAACCGGTCAGTCAGTCTCGCTCCCCTACTGATGGTCTTCTACAATTATAATTGTACATACACTCATTCTCTTAAATAGTCACCTTTAATTTTAACAGCTGTATGAAGGAATTTTCCCTCTTTTTTTGAAGATAAAACTCAACATTTCTGTTCATCTGTTTATTTCGAAATATGTTTTATTTCTCGGTAGAATAACATGATTTAGTTGCTATATATAGTATATATACTAGTAGAGAAATGTATACAATTGCATTAGAAAGGTGGTTACTATCTCTACTAGAAATCCACTAGTCAAAATATCACTTTCCATCTTATGTATTGTCAAATAAACCTGGATTATATAGTCTCCATTGATTTTCATCATTTGAATCGATTTCATTGATCGTATTTTCATAGTATTCATACCAAGTGATTAGCCTGTCAACTTTATCTGAACAATTCAATCCATTGAATTTGATAAAGTTTATACCTAAAGCAATAGCCTAAAATGAAAATGCAATGGAATCATATTAGTAAAAAAATAAACCATTAGAAAGTATTCAGAAGTTATGAAATATATGGTGGTGAAATTGAAGGACTCCACAAAGAGCGAATACATCCGAGCCATTTTGAACTATTGTCAAGTATTGGTTTTGTAGGGACTTTTTTGTTTGATTGGTTGAAGGATTTCATCATGAGCTGACATCAGTTAGAGAACCATTGGAAAACCTGCAGGGATTACTGGACAGCCAACTGTTTCGTCCTAGTCTGGGACTCTTCACAGTATACATCCACCACCAGGGTGAGAACCAAGGACCTTGTGGTTACAAGGCTAACGAGCTCGTAGACTATTAAGCCACTGGGACCCGATCCAATGGCCATGCCATGAATTCTAACTTCTACCATTTCATGAGATAGAGAGACCACTTCGCAATATCTTCTTCGATGAGTTACTGCCTCACCTTCAACCTGCTGTACCCTACTGGTCACGGCTTCCCATTAGAACCCCAGGTCACTGCCTGAATTGAGCCAGTAGCTAGTGAGCATCAAATCAATTTTCAAGTATTGGTTTTGTAGGGACTTTTTTGTTTGATTGGTTGGAGGATTTCATCATGAGCTGACATCAGTTAGAGAGAACCATTGGAAAACCAGCTGGGAGTACTGAACAGCCAACTGTTTCGTCCTAGTCTGGGACTCTTCACAGTAAGCCCCCACCGGGGTTCGGACCCGGTAGTGTTAGCTGACGTAGGATTGATCATTTTGGAAAAAAGTTAGCCAGTGGTGGTCAAACGAAAATATGGCCCCATCAGTCCATGAATTCTCTAACAGTAAGTTTGAGCCAACCATCTAGCAATGTAGGGAGGTGTAGACTTCCTGGGTGAGGTCCTCAGGATGCTAAGAACCAATGTCTGGAGGCACCCGGTGACACCGTTCAAAATCGTTCTCTTAGTGATCTCCAATATTGCAAAAACCCTAATGTTTTTCTGTGTCAATATTTTTCCCCACATTTCTGTTTATTGTTGTTCTTATGAGTGTCTGTATTAGACTTAGTAAAAAATATCACAAATATTGATTCCTTGCCTTTCGAGTGAAATACAGCACAATCCCACTGCACCTGATTCTGTATCATCCACAAGGTTCTATTTGCTCCTCACATGATCTTCATGTCACCCTTGAACATCCACCTGATTGTTTTCCGTTAGGGTTCCACTCGATGGCCGGAAGTGTAATGTCATTTCACTATCCAAGTGTACGCCAAATCCATCTCCATTTACTTCTGCATACATATATATCCTCTCCAGCCACTAGTTCTTAGTGTCTCGACTGCAGTCTCTTTGCCTAACACTGGATATCTGACCTCAATATTACCCTCCATATTATACCACCTAAAATGAGAGATAGAACTCAGACACCTATGATCAAAGACAGCTAGCCGACCTTCTCGTATCTTCTACTTCCAATGCCCATGTCTCACTCACAGTGACAAAGAAGGACAGAACGAACTTCTGAGTGGTGTTTATATCCTTTGATCGACAGCCAACCGGATATCACCTCTACGCCAGAAATGATGTAATTGGTAAAATGCAACACGACCAACTTGTATCTGTGATAATAATAATAATGATAATAATAATTTGCTTTATTCCAAAACAGTACATGTGATACAGAATGGAATTATCAGCATTTTTACTACAGTATTGCATCCAGTTAGTACATTATCAATAAATAGAATTCTACATAGATTATGGAAATCTCAGTTCATTATTACAACAACACATTGGCATGTCGGTAGCAAAGGTATAGCTGAACAGTGTTTGAAGGTGTTAGAAAAGTAGGAGCTGTCATATTTACTGGCGTAAGCGAGAGAAAGAAACAAAGCAGCACATAACGGAAGAAAAAAGAGAGAGGGAGAAAAGGAAAAGAAAGAAAGAAAATGTTGTACCTGTAAATGATATGAGTTGGAAAGACGAGATCCAGTTTTACTACTGACTATTTAATGAATTATAGGTATCACGCCTAATGCTTTCTTTATCACACAGAACACGAGCTAAGTAGGGTATGGTTGAGTTTTTGTATTCAACCAAATTTTCTCTGCAATCAGTCCATTAGAGATGACACGGTCTATCATTTCACTCCATATCTTTAAGCTAGGAGTTGGTGGGGATCAGTCTTGCAGCAGGCATCATCATACATTTGACATGGGCGAATCGTATACCGAGTTGTTCAGAAGACTGTATTTTTTCCCAGCGTTTTCACGTCAAAGGAATATATTTCATCTGTAGACTTTAAACTGACGGGACTACCTTGGTTATAAGTCAGTCTCTGCGTTGTTAAAGGTAATTCCGTGTGACCTTCATTATTTGATGTATAATGAAATTAAACAAAATGTCACCGCTCCGAGTAGATACTCTGCAATGATGTTTGAATTACGTTAAGGTAGTACTGGACAGCTGTTTCGTCCAAGTTTGATAGAAGTTGGAATTCATGAGTCTTTGGATCAGGTCCCGGGTGGTTGAATGGTCTACGAGCTTACCTTGTAACCGAAAAGTCATGGGTTTCAACCCTGGCGGTGAGTGCATACTTCCAATGAGTCATAAACGAGGATGAAACAGCTGTTCAGTACTCCCAGTTGGTTTTCAATGGTTCTCTAAATGATATCAATACGTCGGTTGGACACTAGTAACTAGTGTGATGTGTCCAGTCCTTTCTTTGGTGCAGACCGAATTCTACCAGTCAGGTTTGCAATGTGGCCACCATTCTAGGTGGCTCGCCATCACGGTGCACATTGATTTGATGATATTAAATGGTTGGAGGCTGATAGAATTCAGTCTGCTCCAAAGAAAGGACTAGAAACATCACACTAGTTATGTATGTGTAAAACTTGGTCACTGTGGTAGTAATTCCATATTAGTTTGTTTATTAGATATATCACACAAAGAGTGAAACTGTATTATTTACTGGATGACACAGTTTCGAACGCAATTTACTACTGTTCATAATCATTTCATCAATTGTAATCACACAACATCGAAACTTGAGCTTTATAGCTTCCTTTGTTTTCTCCTTTTATTCTTGCCTTGTTAAGAATTCTGCTTGAGGCTTCCGAGGTTCCTTCCCTATATGGAATTACTACTGATGATTTAGATTCCTTATTAGTGGTCAGGTCAAATACATAGGTCAAAGTAGTAGAAAAGCGGCAGTCAGACTAGCTGAACATAAAAACCTAGCAGCAAAATCTAGATTAGTTGACCCGAGTTAGATAAGAAATCTAGACAATATTTCAGCCATAGCACTCACTACATGAAGTTACAAACAACCATACAATAGGATGGGATAGGATGACAGTTTTAAAATCTAATGTCACAGAGTGGAGGGAGAGATTGATAACAGAAGCTTTGTTTGCCGATTCAACTGCAAATACATGTAATAGGAATGATTCATCACCTGTCCCAGATATCTGGAAAATTCTACTACCCCTATGACGACAAATAGGAGAGAACAAAGAAAACTATAAAACTCAAGTTTCGAAGTCGTGTGATTATAATTGATGAAACGATTATGAACAGTAGTAAATTGCGTTCGAAATTGTGTCATCCAGTAAATAATACTGTTTCACTCGCTGTGTGATACATCTAATAAACAAACTAATATGGAATCACACTAGTTACTTACTAGTGTCCAATCAGAAGTATCCACTACAGTCAGTCCTACAGGAGGTCAATCGCGAGTCCGAATAGCTCAGTGATGGTAATGTCTCTGACTGCAGGCGGCACTGGATGATGCGGGTTCAAATCTCAGATGGGGGACATGAGTTCCTTCAAGTTTGCAGATACGATTACCCTATTGACTGACTGGTGAGTGCCGACTAGCACGAAACCTAGGTGGTGTCCAAGGCTTCCTGTGGCCGATTGCCTCCAACCATCTGATATCAATACGTGTTCAAACTTGAAATGAATCAGATCCCTTCAAAGAAGTTCTTGAAAATAGCAGAATACTAACTACTATCAAACCAAATAAAAGAAAGCGCGTGAATCACTCACCATATCAACTGGCCAATCTTCAGGCGCATAAAAATTATCCAAACTCAAAATAACCTGCTGATTTTGTTCTGTCAAATAGAAAGATATTTTGAAAAATATTTAAATAAAACTTATCTGAATTTCAAATAACATATGTGAGATGAATAGAAATAGATATTAAAGGCACTTTGGCCGAAAAAAGATTGTTGTGAGAGCTGTCTGCTAGCCGAAATTGGTAGACAGCAATTTACGTCACTATTTAAGTCTTGAATCGCGATCAGGAGAAAAAACAAGAACAAAGCCTAACGCTGAGGAACTCAACAACCAATCACAGCAGGCTTAACGTGTGCAAATACGATCCGCAGATTAATGGCTTAACTTTCTACGAAACGGCCACAAAGAGATGACGGAATGACCTTCAGAAAGAAAACAACCAATCAGAAGACGCTACCTCTCTGCTAACAATAACGAATGATAATGCACATAAAAATCTATAAATATCTGTTGATTTTCTCAATAAACGATCTACTGTCTGTCCCTTGTCTTCTGTCTTTAGGCGATGGCCAATAGGAACCATCTAAAGCCGAGAAGCTCTGAAGACAAGTTTGTTTGTCCAAGCTCAACTAACCGGAACAGATTTTTCCCTATACTAGGCTAAGAGTCACACGTATCGTGTGACGGCCGGGCTGGTGATATTACCCAGTTGCTTAATCTGAGTTAGGTAAAGTGCAACTCGAAACCCTTGACCCACTATTGTCTGAAATCTGAGTGTTTAGGCCAATTACCCACATCTCCGTGGAAGAGAAGATTAATAATATTTCGAAACTTCACTGAACAATGTAATCCTATTAAGAATCTAATCAGTTAGTTAAAGTCAGTCAGCAAAAATGGGAGAAATCTGAAAGAAGCAACCTCCTCTACCTACCTTCCCGGGAATCATCGTTTCAACTACAGGCGGAACTGACGAGGATATCAAAGCAAGGATCGGGAAAGCAAGCAAGCTCTCATTACTCTCAAGTCTGTGTGGAGGTAAACAACACTCATCATGAATAACAAGATGTGCATTTTCAACTTCAGTGTGAAGTTAGTCAGTGCTACTATACGGATCAGAGACTTGGCGCGTCATGAAGAGCACCCCAAACAAACTACAGACCTTCATCAACAGCTAACTGTCTTCGCTCAATACTGCTACTACTCAAGATCAGATGGCCGGTCAGAAAAGATCAGCAACAGGGATCTCTGGCAATGAGCGAACCAACTCAGCAGGAACCGATTGTGAAACAAATAGGCAGGAAGAAATAGAGGTGGATTGGTCATACTCTGAGGAAACCATCAAGTGACATCACATGCCAGGCCATCACTCAAGTGGAACCCGAAAGGGAAGCGGCGAGTTGGTCGTCAGTGCAAGGGTGACTTGGAGGAGGTCATGTGAAGAGGAGATGAAAACGTGTGGACAGACTTGGAGCCAGGTGAAAACCTTGGCAGAGAACCGAACGCGATGGAGACGTGCGGCTGAGGCCCTATGTTCCTCTAGGAAGTAAAGGAAACAATAATAATAATTTTCATCTAGCATGGGCTGGAAACTTTCAATTTCTTGCTTATTTTGGGATATACGATAATAGCGGTTAACTGATATGAAGCCACCAAAACCAGTTTAAGTCATTGGTTCCTGAAACAGAAAATTTATACCAAATTTGATTGGACAATTATTGATACAAGTATAAAACTTGGGCACAGTAGTACAGTATAACTCCATTGTTTATAAGATTTTATTTTGATAAATCACACAATGTTGTTATACGGTAATATTCACTGATGACCACCTTTCGAGCACAATTTATTACCGCAGCTCATAATCATATCAAGGGACTCACTTACACAACTTTCTTCCTTCATTTATATTCTTGAGTACAAATTGATGATTAGACATTTGAATAAAGTCAACAATATAAGATAAAGTACATTCGCAAATAATAATATGAGTGTCATCAAAAAAAATACAATCAGATGGGAAATAAGATGATGTTTATAGTAAAACTAAGTCACTTGTTAGAATGTTATAGTGTGAATTGAATTGAATGAATTTTAACATTATTTATTTTCCTCTGATTTGACTGACTGGTGGTAACAATATCTTCCATATCTCTGTTATTTGCATTGAGTCACTTCTATTGCATGTGTTGTGTTGTGTTGTGTGTAGACTCGATGAACCAGGATTCTGTAATCTACCTCTCTCTCCACCTGGCTATATTACTCTGTGTGGTTGTGTGTCAATGCATGAAGTGCAATGTAGTGCTGAGTTTTCTTCCAAATTACTTATCTTTGCTGGTGGGGTCAATCATTCTCACTTTAGCTAAATTCTTGTGTTCCGATAATCTATATCAGTAAACAGTTTGATTAGATCAAATAAAGTATAATTATATTTCAATAGTTTACACACAATGATAAGTTTTGTTATTGGTAATATTTCGAGCAAAATTACTGCCCGTGTTCACACCACTGTTGGAATTGTTTTGTTCACACATTTGTGATTTGTACTCATATATATAGTCCATTATTTTTGCTGATTCATGTTTTTTTGTACTTAAATTATATTCCACGTTCATTCATGTTTTTGTATTCAGAATTATATTCCAGGTTGTTGACAGTTGTGCTGCTGAGTCACCCTTGTTACATGTATCCGGTGAATGAATGAATGAATGACCTTAATGAATATAGATTCTGTTATTAGTAGTCTCTCTTTCCATATGTTCCTATCAGTTTTTAAAATAAAACATTGTTCCAATCGATATTGTGCTTTTTGTCCCATGCATGTACAGCTACAGATGGTTTTTTTCCAAATCTTTGTAAGCTTGCGTTCCTGTTGGTTGACCTTTAGTTAGGCGTTTATGTTCATTCACTCTTATTTTGAGCGATCTGGACGTTTGCCCCACATATTTAGTTGGACAGTTAACACAAGATATTTTGTAAATCACATTGTTTTTATCCATCATTTTTATGGGATCTTTCAATTGATTTATTTTATTTTTGATTAGATTCGTCGGTTTAAAAGTTGTGCGAATGCTGATATTTTTGAGGTTTCTTCGAATTCCGCCTCTGATGTACCATTTTTGTATGGTATTGTGACTGTTTTTTGCCTTCCTCCGTCTTGTCATTCTCCGTTTTCACCCTCTTTTTTTTCTTTTTCATATTATCTCTTATAAATTCTTTTGGGTAGTTGTTGTCGAGTAGCATTTTGAATATGACGTTTATTTCTTTACACTGGTCCTCTGGCGTTGTTGTAAGTCTACGAATTCGATCTGCAAGACCTTGAATTAATCCTCGTTTTACCGTGAGTGGATGAGCTGACTGATAATCAAGAATCTTCCAGAATGTGTAGTTTTTCTATATAGTGTCGTTTTGTATTTTGCAGTCTAACATAGGCAGTTCCCCAATTTCATCCTCTACTTCCATAGTGAATTTTATTGAATCGACATGGCTGTTTATGTGTGAGAAGAGTTTCTCAATATCGGTTTTTTCACTATTACTAATGTGTCGTCTACATATCTCCACCAACATTTTATTGATGACCTGAATAGTTTAAGGGCATTCTCTTCCCAAAAATTCATGAATATGTCCGCTATTATTGGTGAGATGGGCCATCCCATGGCTACTCCTTCATTTTGTTGGTATATTTTCCCTTCGAATGTGAAATATGTTATTGTTAGACAGAATTCCACCCCTTTTATTATTTCTTCTACGGATAACTGCGTTCTGTCTTTTAGGCCATTATCTTCTTTTAGTTTCTCTTTCATTGCATTCATGGCCATTTGAATAGGTATTTTCCTATAGAGACTGTTTACATCAAAGCTGATTAGTATTTCATCTTCCTCTATTTTAGTAGTTTTTAGTCGCTTCATTAATTCAAATGAATCTATTATTCTAGCTTGTGAGTTGTCTCTTGTTGGTCTTAGTATTGTCGAGAGAAATTTTGATAGCATATACGTTGGTGTGTTTCTAAAATCTACAATCGGTCTTATTGGATATCCCTCTTTATGCAATTTTATCTTGCCATATATCCTAGGTATATTGCATGATTTTGGTATAATTTCAAACCATTTTGACTTTAACAAAACCTGTCATTGTGTGTAAACTATTGAAATATAATTATACTTTATTTGTTCCGATAATCTGTCTACTCTTGATCTAGTAATCTGACCTATGTAGTTGATCTCACAGTCAATGTGCTCGAAACTTCACCAGTAATTAATTTACTGTACTACACTGTGTGATTTATCAAAATAAAATCTTATCCATAATGGAATTGACTGGACGATCTTATACAACCAATCAAATAAGCCATTAGTGGCATGTATATATATATATATATATAACTTACGATGTAATTTATAAATTGCTTGAATTATCTCCGTAATGAAAACACAATCTAAACATGTGTCAAATGTAAATAACCAAGCAGAGAAGTACAACTTTTGTTTATCGATTGGTTGAGTTGAAGTATCTTGAATTTCTCTATCACTGATCTTATCTTCTAGTTGTATAGAATCTGTTTGTTCAACATTGCTACTGTTTTCCTCTGGTTGTATTAAATCATATATCGTCGGACCTGTTGGAATACTGAATGTGGAAGGCGCTTCACACGTTGTTACTGCTGCCGTTGTTGTTGTTGTTACTGTGGAGCTTTTTGCAGCTACAGAACTTGAACGATTTGGAAGAACATCTTTAGCTGACGGTTGAACAGTTGTACTTGCAGTAATCAACACAGGAAATGGTAAACGAGATTTCAATGTCTCCCAATAGTCTTTATCCTTAAAAAAATATATATAGATTGTTAGATAAATAAAGTTGCGATAAATAATTATTTTTATGTAATTTAATCTCAAGAAGATAGTTTTGAGTGAGCAACTGTTGTCAAGGTACTTAATCCTAAGATCTGAGTCGACAACCACTAAGCACAGATATCGACTTTAATTCTAAAAAAACACAATGGATGACAAGAAATTGTATTCTTCGATTGTTAAAATCAATATCTGTACTAAACAAGTCTATAAACAAGTGTTTTTACAAGGAATCTATTGTATTCTTCTATTCGTATTCTTTTGTCTTCTTCTAATTTGTACACGATCGAATCACTCGCGCCTTTAAGTTGCCCGCCAATGGCGACCAAAGCGAATAAACAAACATTCAATGTTCATAATCATTGACAACTTTTGTCTATAATTCAGACGATATATTCGTCGTTTGTGACAATTTTATTTTATTATTCTTAATATTTTGTTCCTTTACGTTCTGAGTGGGGCGTAGGGCTTTAAGCTACAGCTTTGAAGTTTCGATAGTGGGGTTGCTAGTCTCATGCTCAACCTTCCCTCTATATTGTGCTTATTATCGGCCAGGTGGGGTTTAGGAGTGTGTCAACCGGAGATTGAACTCCGAACCACGTAAGGCGTCATTGATTAGCGTTCTACCGTTGAACCACCGACGTTTGCGACAATAATCTGGATAAACAATATCTGATGCAAGTCTTTAATGATGTGCACTCAGCATTTATATTCCCTTGTGAAGAAGAATATCAAGGTCAGACAGAGGAGTTAAAGAGAAATATCAGCAGAAAAGCAACGCGGAACGCACAGCTTATCTGTTTCCATAGTTTCATATCCATACAACTTGAGCTGAATTTGATTCGTTTTCATTGTCGTCATAGAATTAGACTCATATGTACTGAGGAGTGTATCGAAGATGAAAATCGAAAACCTTAAAAGTACCCTGCTACAAAATGGTTACCTTACCAATTTTGTAGAAGAACTGACATAATTAAGCGTCATGACACGGTGAATAAGAAAAAGCTTTATTCGGGGGAGGGTACAGTTTGAAGGTGATAATATCCAGTGATATATTAAGCCATAGGTTGATCAGATCAATTGGAGGAACTTTTAGTGCTGCCGAACCACACATCAGTTTCTCAACTAGGCCAAAAGTGACTCATTGCATTAAAGATAAATTACCAAAGATGGCCACATCATCAATTTGTGTGTGCATGCAAATTCAACTGTTCATGGGTCAAACTCCTCAGAGGAATTCATCTTTACGCACTCGTGAACATGTTCCTGTTTGGCTTGGAAAAAGTGTAACTAAATCAATAAATAGTGCCATTTTATATCATCTAGTGGATAGTGAACACCACATCAAAATAGATGAGTCATTCATTTACGGTTGTATATCGAGTACCAAACAATCTACACCTAAAGACACACGATTACGTCTCCTCGCTATAGCCGAAGCTATAGAGATTAATAAGAAGACACCTGACCTATGTGTGCAAAACAAGCACATTCATCCTCTTTGTTTACCCTGGCCTACGATCAAGGCATCACGGACACAATCATTTTCATATTTTCATGTTATATTATGCGTTTCTTATTCCTTTTCACCTAATAATAATGATCTACTTTATTCCAAAAACAGTACTTATAATAGAGAATGGAATTCTCAGCATTTGTCACAATATTGCATCTGATTTACTCAAAATATAATTAAAATTAAAAATTAAGACTAAATTAACCACATTTACGATATAACGTCAAAAATATTCGAGAGATTGAGATTTTTAAAAATAATACTGATAACAGTGAGTTAGTTTGAAACGATATTTTCGATGCAGTTTGGAAACTTTAGCATGTTATAGATTATTGGATCTAATGTTCTGTTGATACAGTACAGTGAGGGGAAATACAAAATTAACAGTCATAATACAGCTTAAAATTATGACCACACTTATGAAAAGAAATAAACAAAACGAAAAAATTTAGAGGATTATAATATAAGAAATACAATAACAATAAAGTATGATGCTTTAAAAGAGAAGGAAATGGTTTGTTTAGTGGTGCAAAAAAGGTTAGTTAGTTCATGCCTGACACTATTTTCATCACATAAAGTACATGCCAAATATGGTATAGTGGAATTTTGATACTTAGACGTACGTGCATGAAGTCTTCTGAAAAGACTTCTTGTTTTACCTGAGGAGACACAAGGTTGGAGCTGTGGTAGAGTGGATGCTCACAGTCTGACAAAATTCCCTTAGCAAATTTTTTGCATGAAATCAAGTGCTTATCAATCACAATGTCGATGATATGGCCCAATGGGATACCACTCGTCCTACTGACAGTCTTCAGAGTTCTACGAAGTATGACATAGTCTTTTGTAAGCAATCCAGGAAAGAATAAAGGTGAACAGTAAAGAAGAATAGGTAAGATGCGCGAGTTGATAAACTGTAATAGGAGGGATTGAGTTATGCCTGAGTGCCTTAACTTCTTACTGTAAAATGTCAGATGAAATATTATTCTAGAAATCTCTAAGACATGGGAAGAACAGGATAATTCATAAGAAAGAATTAATCCAAGATACTTAACTTCAGACTTGGTTTCTATATCAGTATCATCAATTTTGCAATCGTCATAGGAACCAACAGCTTTATTGAACTTTCTTTTACATCGGAAACTGAAATTAACAGTCTGATATTTGGGAGGATTTAGTTTAAGACCACTAGACAAAGACCATTTACCAACTCCTGATAGAAAGTTGTTCATCTTAGTGCAGTCAAGCTGCGAGTTAACAGACATTGAAATAGTTACGTCGTCCGCATACTTAACAAAGTTCATTTCATCAAAGTGAGAAGAAAGAAAACAGAAAAGGAGAAAGGACAGCGCCTTGAGGGACACCAGCCTCAGTAAGCAATGAAGTGGATGACTTTCCCTGACATACAGTGTACTGCTTTCTTCCTGAGAAATAAGAATGCAGCCATTTGACAACCCAACAGTCAGTTTGAATTTCAGCAAGCTTGTTTAACAAAATGTCCCTAGACACTAAGTCGAAAGCAGATGTGTAATCTAGGAAGGTGCAACGAACAAATTTGGCCTCGTTGTCTAGACTGGATACAATGTTATGATGTAAGACTGCAACCTCATCTAAGGTACTTCTACTGTGTTTATAGGCGAATTGTTTGGGATCGTTAAAGGCTTTAAGTGAAGGTTGAAGATTAAGTAAGTGCAACTTTTCCATAGTTTTTAGAAAAGTTCACTTCACTCTATTATCATCCTTATTATAATCTCAACCTTGATAGTTTACACTAAGCTTATCATGTCTCTGGCATTTTGTTACAGTTCATAATTTAACCTCTTTATTTTATCACTACACTTGATATCTGTGAGCCCTTGTACTTGAACCTACATTCAATGTTCCTTATTTGTTGGTATGTGTTTGTATGTATTTTGTGGTAATTATATTTCTCTCATACTATATGAATATAACTCACTAACCCACTCCCAATGAAACTTATATTCTGTTGACTATAAATACGCTGGTATGTCACTCAGCTGTCTATTCACTGTACATCTTATATACGTTCAATTGACAATATTAACTAACGGACTATCATTCCATCCTATGCATGTACCCCAATACAGACAGTTTCTGATATTATTTTCACTTGCCTTTATTGACTGGCTATTTTTATTCGAGTATTTTCAAGCCTTGGTTTTGTTGGGATTTTTTTGTTTGATGGGTTAGAGGATATCATCATGAGCTGACATCAGTCGGAGAACCATTGGAAAGCCAGCTGGGAGTACTGCTAGACAGCTAGCTGTTTCGCCAGCCTAGTTCGGGACTGACTCTTCATCAGTACACACCCACCGCCAGGGCTCGAACCCGGGACCTTCTGGTTACAAGACTAGCGAGCTCGTAGACCATTAAGCCATTAGGACCCGATCCAATGGCCAGTCCATGAATTCTAACTTCTACCAGCCAATTCATGACATAGAGCGACCACTTTGCAATGTCTTCTTCGATGAGTTACTGCCTCGCCTTTAATCTGATGCACCCTAATCTTCTTGGATTAATAACTGTAGAGCTTGAGGAAGAAGTTATCGAAAATCATTATTTGCTTAAAACCATCTTGTTCTATGGGGATGCCTAATTTAGTGTAATCTAATCTCGCCTAGGTTACTAACCGATCCCAAGCTGGTCCCGGAGAAAGAGGGAAGGTTGGGTGTGAGGCTTGGCACCCTACGCGGGAAAATCAATCCAATCGTCAGAGTAAATTTAAAGCACAGAGAAAAATGTACACAAAATAAACTTATTCTTTACTGAAATTGAAGGGATAAAGTGATACTGAAGGTTGGTAAAAGCTGTCGGGAGGTTAGTCAACCCATCTATCCTCTTTCGATGGGGCCACGTTATTCCGGAGAATCCACCAATAAATATCATTGACGTAAAGCATTTTTAACTTGAAATTCACAACTTTTCATTATGATTTCAACTATATTTACTATATTATTTAGCCCTTTGCGTTCCGAGTGGGAGATAGGGCTTCAAGGTTGAGATTCGAAGTTTCAGTAGCAGTAGTGTGGTTCAGAACCGGCTAGGGAAGGTAGAGGTGTGCGCCGGCCAGAGGTCGAACCCTGAACCATATGCATGGTTGACGAGCATTCTATGGCTGAACCACCGAAGCACTTCTACAGGGTAATAAATGATTAGATGGTTGGAAATAATCTTCAAGAAGACTTGGACATTGGTTTTGTGTTTGTTTGCACTCAGCAGCCAGCAAGGCGTATCCACAACCTAGAAGGAACTCATGTCCCCTCTGAAACTTGAACGCGTGTCAGCCAGTGCTGAAGTTAGAGAAGTTACCACTGACCTGTTCAGGTTCAGTATGATTTTAATAACTCTACTATAAAAGACAAATTCAGCGAAGAAAATTTTCTTTATCGACGAAATCATCTTCAGAGGCTGGCTGTACAGTCGTATTTATATTTACCAAAAATGTATAGTAGTCTATTATTGAGTAATAGGACGGGAGTGACATAATTGATATAATTACTCGGAAGTGGTTTTAGAAGTAAAAAATAAAAGACAGTGCCGAAGAAACTGCTATTTATGAGCGTTGAATTTAAAGGTGATACCGCAGGTGAGATCCTGAAGAATCGCTTATGCAGATCACTGAGGAAAGCCTTCTTTAAGGCTGAGCTACGTATCACTTTCTACAGCCGACAAATGATCAATGGATGTGTGAAGGATAAACTGCGCCTTTGGACGGGCCACTTTAATGTGTGTTTATAAATTCACCTGCTTGTGTGGAGCTAGTTATATTGGCCGCACAAAGCGCACACTTTCCAAACGCATCACTGAACATTATCCGTCATGGTTAGCAAAAGGAAAATGCAAGACAATTACTAGCTCAATTCTCGAGCATTTGGTGAACTCAAGCCACGTAACTCCACCAGAGTCGTCTTTCAAGGTGAGACAAATCAATACAAAGGGCGTTAGGTTTCGGCTTTTGTGTATGGCGGAGGTTCTGGCAATACAACCTCGAACTCTATACACAGAAAACGTTTGTCCAGTATCTTATTCTTCCTTGGTCTTAGCCTCTTCACTGGTCGTTCCCTGTAGAAAATTTATTCTTTATTTCCAATTTTACTTTTGGTTTGCTTTTACTTTAGTAATTAATTCACTATTATCACTCTCATATGTTCCTTTTTATACATTTTCACACCCCCTTCACAAGTGTTAAATTGACACTCAACTACCTCCTTTCTTCTCACTCGATAAGAATTTTCAACCTTATCAAATTTCCAACCCTTTCTTCCTTTGTGCCATTGAGTACAACCTAATTTACAAGTTTTATTTTTTACTTCTGAAGCCACTTCCGAGTAATTATATCAATTATGTCACCCCCTATAACTCAGTAATAGACTAATATATATTTTTGGTAGATATAAATACGACTGTTCATCGATAAAGAAAATTTTCTCCGCTGAATTTTCTTCAAAACTCTACTATAATGGAATCAGAATTGCTATTTAAATCGAAACTAAACAGATATCCACTTCTTTTCACCTGTCTCCAGGAGTTCAAAGTTTGAAAAAAAACAATTACTTTATCCTTACTTTATTGTTCATTTTATGCATTTAAACAAATAGTTTACTCACTTCTGCTCTCAATGGATCAATCAATAGACGTATTTGTGAATACCTTGTCAGCAGATCAACATAAAAGGCAACCATTTCTTCAGGTGATTTGAACATGCCTGTAATAATCTCATATCGTCCTTTTGCCTTAAAATAAATAACAAATTCAAAATATAATATTTCTTTGTTTATTTGTGATTATTTAAATACAGTTTATATGAATTTTTAAAGGATAAAAATCTACAGTCAGTCTGTTTCCTCTAGTCATAGCACATACAAAGTGAAACCAACAATATTTGAGCTGCTCAATGAACCCTTCACTATTGAATCGCTTGTTTAAAACCCTTAATGAGTTTGTTTAATGAATTAATTTACCTCCGATAAAGCTTATGGCGGAATGTTAAAAAATCCACATAAAATATTCGGAAATGTTTTCGAAATGAGTTATCAATAAATAATTGACTAAGATTACTAGTACCTATCATTATAATGTAATGCGTTCGGTAAATGACTACATGTTTGAAGTAAATGTAACCTCTCCAACCACATCAATCATCTAGACAGATGAAGATGTTAAGATCAGGATCAGAAAGGTTGGGATAGACCTTCATCACTCTCAAATCGATGTGAAAATCTACTGTACTCAGCATAAAGAGAGAGTTTCGGATTGTAGACACTAATATTTAGTCAGTGCTTCTGTGTGACTTTAGAGACTTCACGCACATGCGACGAAAAACCTTTCCAACAGCCTACTGTAGACTTTCATTAACAGTTACCGATACTGAGGATCAGATGGTAGTATAGAAAGAATAAGCACTGAGGAGCCTTGGTGAAGAACCATCCAAGGACCTACTGCCCAATAAATATACCGAATAAAATGGAGACGGATAGGACACACAAGTTGAGAAGACCACTGATTTAAATCATTCACTATGCCCTCAGGTAGGACCCAAATAGAAAGTGAAGAGCTGGGCGTTGCTTCGAGGGCTACATGAAGGAGATGCAGCCTTATGGGCAATCGTCAAGGCATCCTGGAGATAACAGGGTAAAATGGAAATGTGTTGGTGAAGCCATATGTCCTAAGGGAATAATAATAGGCATTTCTATTAGATCTGCCATCACACTCTAAAATTTTTTGTCTGTTATCACAATCCTGCAACTACAGTAGCCATATTTCACTGTAGTAGAGATCAGTGAACGTTACTTACTGAAACACTCGGTCTCTTTAAACATATCGACACCTAGTACAAAACCTCCGATGATACTTTGAAGCGGACTTGATATTGTGGTGAGAGCTGTCTGCAAGCTAAAACTGTAGACAACAATTAACGTCAATGTTACACTTCCCAAATCGGGGTCATGAGAAAAAACAATAACAAAGCTTAACGTTGAGGAACTCACCAACCAATCACAGCAGACTTAGTGTGTACAAATACGATTCACATTTATGTAGATTAACTTTCTAAGAAATGGTCACAAGCAGTACAGAATAACCTTCAGCAAGAAAACAAACAACCAGAAGACGTTGCTTCTGCGCTAACAATAATAAATCTATAAATACCTCTTGATTTTCTCAATAAACAATCTGTTGCCTGTCCCTTGTCTTCTGTCATTACAATATTATTGAATTGAAATAATCGGCTCTTAGTTCGAATCCCACCGAGAACATTATCACTTAGTGGGAAACAAATAATGATAAAGGGATAAACTAGACAGTAAACAGAGAATTAATAATTTCATTCATATGTTACTGTTTGGTTGGTGGTTACTGGCATGAGTTTCGTCCCATTTTGGTCTCTTCATTTGGATGTACTTGCATTCGTGATGATTGATTATATTCCTACTGAAATTCAATGTCACTGCCAATCGTTTCTAATGTAAAAGCACGAAAATGTTCAATCTTTGATGACAAGTCGTCATCTAGTGAAGACAGTTTCACAATGCTGTCAGATGAACATGATGTTGAGTGGTTAATGGTGGCTAACACTGGAATCCACCATTTCAAGTTCAATGAAATCAATAAGTATGAAATTCAAAATATAACTGTTATTATTACTATTATTCGTTCCTTTGGTTCAGCAGCGTATCTTTATTTTACTTCGTGTACTGGCCCCATGATTGCTCATTCGCTTTTATCTCCTTTTCATACAATATCCTTCATATCACTCACGAAGCGACCCTCAATTCGTCGCTTCCAACTGGGGTTCTACTCGGAGGTTTACCTTGCGAATGATGTCACTCAATGATCTTTTCAGCATTTGTCTAAATGATCTGCATTTCTTATAGATTATTTGTTGAACAGTAGGTTCCTGGTTGGTTCAAATAATGATCAATACAGATGTATATTGAAAGCCAATCATGACAAAGGAGGCTGTCAGAAGACACAATCATATCATTATTTATGGAAGAAGAATTTAGATGCAACCAGTGTACCTTGTTCCAAAAGACCAGGTGAACTGGAACTCCTCATGTTTCGACATAGTATACTTTACTTACTTACTGATCCTAGTAATTTCACATTCCTTCCTAATGTGGTGAGCGCTACTTATAATCACATAAAAGTAGCGTATCAGTAAACGAATTCAGAAAAGTAACAATATGTTTTGGACACTAGAAAAAGGCAATCGAAAAGAGAACTGTGCCCTTCGTGAGGCGCCAAGTCTCTGATCCATATAGGAGCATTGGCTTCACACTGAAGTTGAAAATGCGGATCTTATTTTTGATGCTGAGTGCTGCTGTTCTCAACACAGACTTGAGAGTAATGAAAGCATACCGTACCTTCCCGATTCTCGCTGCTTTGATATTCTCGTCAGTTCCGTCTGCCATTAGTTGAAACGATGCTTCCCAAGTAGGTAGAGGAGGTTGCTCCTTTCAGACTCCTTTCATTTATGCTGATTATTGTCTGTTGTTGTTACTGTTGCTGTTGGCCAGAAATCTTCATCACCTATGTTTTCTCTATGTCCACCTGAAGGCCTATCTTCTCTGGATGCTTCTTCTGCCAACTTGTTGCTTTTCACCACTTGCATATCTTCCAGTTTGTGGGAAATCAGACAAATATCATCGGAGAAGTTCAGATCCTCCAAGTGTTTTGTGTGGGTCCATTTTATGCCTGTTTCCTCACTGCCTGCTGTCTGTCGCATTATCCAGTCTACCGCAGTCAGGAAAATCAGTGGAGATAGTAGGCAACCAACCAGCCTTGTCTTACTCCTGTCTTCACTTCGAAGGATTCCGTGGGTTTCTCGTTGTGGATTACTTGGCATGCAGCATTGTCGTACAACTGTTGGATGAGATGTATGATTGTCGGTGGCACCCAGTAGTAGCGAAGCAATTTTCAAATCACCTTTTGATCAACGTTATCTGCTGAAGACCTTTTCAAAGTCGATGAAGCTGAGATACAGAGCTAACTTCTGTTCCAAGCTCTGTTCAGTGGTGATCCGTAGTGTTGAGATTTGATCGATTTATGGCCTGTTTCTCTTGAATCTAGCCTGTTCCGTTAGAAGTTTTTCATCCAGAGCGTGCTTGATTTCCTCCAGCATGATGAAGCTTAGTATTTTGCTTGGGATTGACAGGAGCATTATGCCTCACCAGTTCTTGCAATGAGCTAAGTCTCCTTTCTTTGGCAGTTTGAATAAGTAGCCTTTCCCTCAATCTGCAGATACCTTGCCCGCTTTCCACACCTTCTTCACTAGTGGTGTCATCAAGTCCGCTGATGTCTCTGGGTCCATTTTCAATGCTTCTGCTGGGATTCCATCTGGTCCTGCTGCTTTTCCAGCTTTTAGCATCTAGATTGCCTTCAGGACTTCTGATTTCGTCGGGGGGTTGATGTTCACTGGTAGCTCTGTCTCCGTTGTTGACATTGTTAGGCGCGTTGTAGGTGGTGGTCGATTTAGGAGTCTTTTGAAGTGTTCAGCCCAGTGTTTCCTTTGCTCCACCTCTTTGGTGAGTGACTTTCCATTGTCATCCTTCACTGGCTGAATTCGTCTTCATCTCTTCCCCGATAGGAACCTAGTCGTTTGGTAGAGTGTTGCGAGGTCTCCTTTGCCTGCAGCTTGTTCTGCTTCACTTGCCATAGATTAATAATATTGTCTTTTGTCTTCCCTGGCACTCTCCTTTACTCCTTTGTTCAGTGTATAGTAGCTTGGATTCAACTCCTGTTTTTGTTGTTCGTTTATGCACTGGATAATCTTTTATTTCACCATCCTTCTCTCTTCTATTAGTCTCTAAGTGTCCATAGTGAGCCACTGTTTGTCCTGTCTCTTCCTTCTGCCCAGAACTTCCATGCTTCCGCTTTCAGGTTGTTCCAGCGATTAGGAGTACTGAACTTGGCTTGTGGTCTATCTGCGGCTCCTGTCTCCTTGAGACTTTTCAATTTGATTTGGAGTGTTCCATGCACAATATAGTGGTCTGAGCCAACGTCTGCTCCTCTTCTTACTTTTGTGTCCAGTAAGCTGCGTCTTCACTTGCTTTATGAAAATTGAGATGAAGTCAGTTTGGTCTTTGCTTCGCCTGTCTGATGACACCCATGTAGCCTTGTGGATATCCTTGTGTTTGTATACGCTGCCACCAATCACTAGTTCATTGAAGGCGCAGAAGTCGGCGAAGAGTTCTCCATTTCCATTCATTTCTCCGAGAGCTTCTCTACCCATGATGAGTTCTCTTCCTGTGTTGTCTGATCCCAGTTTGGCGTTCATGTCTCCCATTAGTATTTTAATGTCACCGACTGGAGTATTGTCCATTGTTGCCTGTAGTTGTCTGTAGAATTCTTCTTTCTTTTCGAGGTCTGCGTTGTTTATCGGTGCATAGCATTGTATAATTGACACTTTCCTTCCTTTGGAGTTGAATCTGGCGGTCATTATCCTGGGCGAGATCGCCTCCCATTGTATCAGGGCCTTCGTTGCCGTTGGTGACATCATGATAGCCACACCCTCAGTGTGCATGTGGTTGTCTTCTGGGTGACCGGAGTAGATCATCGACTCTCCCGTTGACAATTTAGTGAGTCCATTCCCATTCCATCTGCTTTCGCATATTCCCAGTACTTGAATTCCGTATCTTTTCATCTCGTTTGCAATCCGGGCAGCTTTGCCAGTCTCGTACATGGTGCGGACATTCCATGTCCCCACACAGACTTTTTCTTTTGTCTCGAGGAGATTCATCGTACTGAAGTTTCTGTAGCAGCTTTGTTTACAGGATGGGGTTGCTAGCCTCACGCCTGAGAAGGGGGTTGTTACATGAATGTATAGTTTACAGAGGAGCGACTTTATGGGTTGCTCCCCTTAGAATCAGGAAAACAAGGAATAAAGCAATCAGAACAACACCAGCAAAAGGAAAATAAAAATACACATATATATAATGTTTTTTTAAAGCACAAAACCTAACTTACCACATCATAAATTCCTTTCGGTGATATATATAAACCAAGATAAAATTCTTCTGTCAGCTGTAATTGTTCTAAACAATCGATAATTATATCCAAAGCTTGTTCAGGTTTATCAATATTTACACTTGACGCGCCATTTTCACATATCATCTGTGGTGATAACTAGTAATTATTATTATCATTATTATATTTAATTATATAATTATAACTTACGCTTGATTTATTCATTAATATTTGTTGTAATTTACCTTTAATTGTAAATAAATTATCTAATAACTAAAAATTAAATGAATTAATTGTTATTGTTTAAAACGAATTACAACGCACTTCTTTTGGTTTTGTATGCGGTTTTGGTATTAGGAGGATTTCTTGTAGAAATCTACACTTCCCTGGTAGTAATGCTCCGATACGTCCTGGACAATTGAGAATTGTTATTATTGGACATGGTATGGTTTGAAGGCTGGTTGATGGCAGGATGGTAGACTCGTTGTTTGTATTCAGGGATTTAATAACCTCAACAATAGAAAAAAAAAGGAGGTTTAAATATCTTCAGTGTCTTAATGATGTGATAATAAGGTTAGAATGATTGGTGTTCTTAGGCTTGGTCTCATGCTATTTACCCTTACAAGTGGGCAGATATACAAACAATGGTTTCCAAGACTCAGCAGATAATTGTCATCACTATTGTTCCCTTGGGCTCCGAGTGGAACATAGGGCTTCAACAGAACATCTCCATTTAGTCTTTTTCTCTGAGGTTCTTTATAGCTGGTCCCATGTTTGCCCATAGTCTGTCATCGCCCCCTCATACGATCTCTTCAAAGTAACCCTCGAAATGACGCCCAGCTTGTCGTTTCCCATTCGTGTTCCACTCGGGCGATGGCCTGGCGCATGATGTCATTCGGCGGTCTCGTCAGTGGCGTGGACCCAATCCTTCTCCCTTTTCTTCTGCCGAATTGCTGAGCGATAGGTTTCTGGTTTGGTTTGTTGCCAGAGTTTCTTGTTGTTAATTCTTTCTGGCTGGCTGGTCATTTGATCTTCAATATGGACCCAGCGATGAGGGCAGCTGCTGATAAAAGTTCTCCTGCAGATGGTTAATCCAGTCTGACGCTAAGGACAAGATACTGTATTTATCAGTTTACCTGTTCGTGTGGAGCAAAGTATATCGGCCGTACGCAACGTCAAGTCCACAAACGTATTCTGGAACACTGCTCGGTTCGGTCATCCAGAGGAGAAAAGAAGAATAGCAACAGCTCGATCCTCGAACACCTTGTCATCTCTGGACATCGAGCACCCCCCCCCATGAATGCTTCACTGTTTTACAAAGAGTTCCTCAATATCGTACAAATGGACTTCGGATACGCCATCTGTACATAGCTGAAGCATTAGCTATTCGGGATCTGAAACCGGACCTCTGCATACAAAAGCGATACATACATTCCCTCGTGTTACCATGGCCAGAGTAAAGTTCTTACCACAAATTTGCTTCTTTCCTTTATTATGTAAGTTCACTATTATTACTATTATTATTTTATTTTATTAATACTTTTATCATCATTATTATTCCCATCATCCACATTTTATTACCACTCTATTACTGTTTATTAATAACATTGCTTTTCATACATATTTTATACAAAAACACTTTATAGCCTTTCCATTAGTTCCTGTCCATTTTACACGAGCTTACTGATTATTCATTATCTCACACTTATTACATCATGCCAACTTCTGTCTCTTTTCTAAATTACAATTAGTCATCCCTTCTTACAGCTTACATTATGTAATACAATTTTCTAAGGACAAAATTTACCAGTATCTGATTGGTCTAAGGATTTCTTTGTTAATTATAATTGCGACTGTACAGCTCATGTAAATGAATCGTCGAAAAGGAAATTTTCTTCGCTATTTGTGCCTTATGATAAAAGTTTGCAGTGACCTGTTGGATATGCTTTGCGTGACGCGTGCGTGAAGTTTGTGGACGACATAGAACTGACTGACTTAACATAGGTGTTAAAAATCCGAATTTTGTCCTTTAATCTGAGTGCAGAAGATTTCCAAACTGACTTCGGAGTGATGAAGGTCTGCCATATCTGTCCGATTCTGGCTTTAACATCCTCATCTGTACCGCCTTTTAGTTGAAGCTATGGTGCATAGATAAGTGAAAGAAGCGACCTTTTTCAAATTTCTTCCATTGATAATGACTGGTGCTTGTTGTTGTTGCTGTTGGTTGGTTGGTTATCTTCATCACCCCCGTCTTCTCTATGTTCACCTGGAGTCCTATCTTCGCCATCTGCTTCCTCAGCCAGTTTGTCTGTTTTTGCCTACCTGCAAGTCATCGAGTTTCTATGACATTAAACATAAATTATTGGCGATATCCAGATCTTCCAGAGTCTTCTTTTAGGTTCAACATATTTCTATCTTCTCACTTCAGAAGCTTCTCCGAGTTTCCTGTTTCGGATCACGTGACATTTGCCATTTCATATAGCCAGTTATTGAATGAGGTTGATAAAGACTTAGAGTATCGCCTTCTGTAGGCATCCATAACCTCATCAGAGATTGATCGCATGAGTTTCAGGTCACGAGGTGAGTCAGCTGAGCATTCATCCACTAGGACGGAATCCAATAGCCATCTCGCCAGTGTCATCGGCGAGTATTTGTCCTCACACACTCCGACTTGGTGGTTTCCACTGGTCACAACTTCTCACACTACAACTCTAGGTAACTTCATTCCCTGTTCAGTCATTAGTGAGTAGTGTAGAATAATTTTCAAATGTTGGTTCGCTGCAGGAATTCTACTGGTTGGTTTACAGCTTGATCTGGGATTGACATCAGTCAGAGAAGCATTGAAAACAAGCAGGTGAATGGGGTAGGGAGGGATAACTGAGCTAGTGTTCGGTCCACTACTGTTTTCATTATTAATGTGTAATCCATCAGTGTTATGACTCAGAAGAGAGTTCAATGAAGTGACAATTGAAGCAAAGGCAGAGGGACTTAAATGTGATAAAATTTCTAACAACTGATCTGCCTGGTGGAAAATCAAATAAGAATTTAATTTAGTCATCAAATTAAGCTTTTAATAAAAATTAATACATATTAGTCCTTCAACTTCTTCAAAAGTCTTGACAATTCATTCTCAATACTCTCCCTTCTATCTTTCTGAACGGTTGATTTGAAACATTTTTCTTCGTCACAAAGAATGGTACATAATTTGTTGATGTAATCCTCACGATTTAAAGTAATTATGCCCGAATACTTTATCTGCACAAATTAGTATTATCTCCTTGTTACTCAACAGTCGAAATCTTAAACGCCATATGCTTAATTTGATCGATACCATACGAACACGTCTTCCAGAACTTCAGAATAACACATCACAATACCTGCATTTATCATTGGAACTAACAGATACTGAATGTAGCTTATTTGAGGATTATATGCCCAACGTGATAAAGTAAAGATCCGACGATTTAAGAATTAAGATATTGAAAAGTTACAAAGCAACCGAATGTAATATGAAGTTCCTGGATTCACCGAAGAAATATGTCTTTAATTATTATTGTTTCCTTTAATTCCTAGAGGAACATAGGGCTTCAGCCGTGCGTCTCCATTGCTGCTAGAGTCTTCGCCTGGCTCCATGTCTGCCCACACGTTTTCATCTTCCCTTCACATGACCTCCTCCATGTCACCATCTCACTGACGACCAACTCGCCGCTTCCCTTTCGGGTTTCACTCGAGCAATGGCTTGTCTACTGATGTCACTCACTTGATGGTTTCCTCAGAGTATGGCCAGCCAATCCATCTCCATTTCTTCCTGCCTATTTGTTTCACAATCGGTTCCTGCTGTGGTGGTTGGTTCGCTCATTGCCAGAGATCCCTCCCTGTCGCTGATGTTTTCTGGCTGGCCATCTGATCTTGAGTGGTATTAAGCGAAGACAGCTGATGATGAAGGTGTATAGTTTATTTGAATTGCTCTTCATGACGCGTCAAGTCTCTGATCCGTATAGTAGCACTGACTGACTTCACAGTGGAGTTGAAAATCCGGATCTTATTTTTGATGCTGAGTGTTGTTGACCTCCACACAGACTTGAGAGTAGTGAAAGCTTGCCTTGCTTTTCCGATTCTTGCTTTGATATCCTCGTCAGTTCGGCCCGTAGTTGAAACGATGCTTCCCAGATAGGTAAAGGGGGTTGTTTCTTTCAGGTTCCTTCCATTTATGCTCATTGTTGTCTGTTGTTGTTGTTGCTGTTGGTGGTGTTGCCCAGGAATCCTTAATTATTCTAGTATAACTCTATCTGACATTCAGATGCAAATCCTATCTCTTGGTCATAACTTCTGTACTAGAGTTGACGAATTAGATACAAAGATGCAGTTTCAAAATCTTATGTCTTAGACACAAGACTTACTTTCAACATTTAGTAAGGATCTAGAACAATTCATGACCGCCATACTGCATTTTTACTATCAATACTTAAAAGCGCAATGCAAATAACGACAGATGATATCAAAAGAGCGTAAAAGACAATTGAATGAACTGTTGAATAACAAGGATGTAATACTAATCCGTCCAGATAAAGGATCGGGCATAGTTATTTTAAATCGTGAGGATTACATCATTATATTATGCACCATTCTTTGTGATGAAGAAAAATTTTTTAAATCATCCGACAAGAAAGCTAGAGCAGAAGGTATTGAGAATGAATTGTCAAAAACTCTGAAGAAGTTGAAGGAAGAATCTATTATTACTCCGTTTATGTATAAACATCTCAAGCCGTCTGGTTAAACCATCCCTTGTTTATATCGTCTTTCCAAGGTGTACAAAGATGGCATCCCTTTGTAACCTGTATTGGATATGCTGAAGTTGCCTTATCATTTTTTTAAATTGCCAAATTAAATAATTCGGACAAACATCAAAAAGAATAGTGACCATTGTATGCGAACTCATCAGTGACCTTGAACGCCCACCATTTATTGGACTACAGAACTTGCCGTCTATTCCACATCATGAAACAGTTTCAGGATTTCATTATTATTAACTGACATCGGTTAGAGGACCATTGGAAAACCTGGGAGTACTGGATAACTGACTGCTTCCTCCTAGTCTGGAACTCTTCGGCAGTACGCATCCATCGAAGCTTGAACACAAAGCCTTCTGGTACAAGGTGAGTGAGCTTGTAGACCATTAAGCTAGTGGGACCCAATCCAGTTCCAACTACGACCATTTCACGATATAGCACGACTGGAACTAGCCAAAGTCATCCGCGGCGAATATTTGTCCTCACACTCAACCTGCTGCATCCCACCGGTCACAACTTCCCACTAGAACCCAGGTATGTACCTACGTGAATAGTGAGCATCATATTGACTGACATTCAAATGTTGGTTTACAGGGATTTGATTGGTTTCAGGATTTCATCATGAATTGACATCGGTTAGAGAACCATTGGAAAACAAGCTGGGTATACTGGACAGCTGTTTCATGCCAGTTTGGGAGTCTTCATCAGTATGCACCCATTGAGATTTGAACCCAGGACCGTTTATTTACGAGGAAAATTAACATAAATTTAATGGAACACATTACAGACGATATTTTACCCTGACATAGCTGAAAAATAGTTTCCAATTACAATGAAGTGTATCAGTTCTCAAGTTTCATAGCTATCAAAATGGTTTCATCTATATGAACAGTGAAACAACCCTCTTCTCCCACTTGTTTATTTGGAAAAATTACTGATAATAGTGATAAAAAACACCATAACGCGTACTTTAACCCTACCCCTACCCCTAATTTTTTCCTTAACCCTAATACTGACACTAGCCCTAACCCACTATCAACCCATTGTTCAAACAGAACTTAAAAACGAGGTCAGGGTGAAATTTACACCTCAATTCTTGCGCAGCTTTCATACTGCTGCTGTAATAACTAACGTCAGTTTCTGTAATCCAACGAATGGTATGCGTTCAAGGTTACTGGCGCGTTCTCACTCCATAGTCAATATTCTTTAGGTTGGGGCCATAATCTATTTTTACTAAATTTGAATTTGGGTTATTATATGTGTCTGCCTGGTGGTCCGGGTGGTTAAACACTTAAAACGGTTATTGATTACCTGCTGTTCTGCAGGAATTTTCCCACAAAAGAGGTCCCCTGTCTGGTGATCCTCTTCAGCACGATATGTCTACATTTTTATACGAAACTATTTCATTTCTGTTGTAACGGTCGAAGACAAGAGACTTGGCAATGGAATGTTTATTTGGGATTTCATATGTCTATGTAGGGAAATTATTGCACACCTCTTCAAGAGTTGGCTTGTAAGTATTAGATTTCTTTTTACGAGTTTGACTACGGATTGTGATATCAGTTAGAGAACCATTGAAAACCAGTAGTGGAGTACTGGACAGCTGTTTCGTCCTCCTAGTTTGGGAATCATCGGCAGTACGCACCCACACCACGGGGTTCGAACCCAGGACCTTCTTGTTACAAGGCAAGCGCGTATACCTCATCTGAGAATTGTAATTTGCGCATATCTTTCGTGTTGTGCCTGCTACTTCTGCCCCCCCTTCGTATTGTGTTTCTTTATCTTCTTCTTTTCGTGTCTCCTATGTTTCGCCGGTTCAAAGTGGTTCACTTCCTCTCTTTGGTGTAAAATCTGTCTCTCTGCTATTTGATATCAACTTTTGCCAATGAATGTCTCCTCATATACTACTGATAAATCTTACCAGTAGCACACACATGCCACACTATAAATTGAACTCTTGTTTCTTGGGGGTCAGTGTTAGATTTTAACACAAACTATCTAAGGCCTTGAGAGGTACTTTGGCAACTACTTCGCTACTACAGGGTGCCACCGACAATAATACATCTCATCCAACAGTTGTACGACAATGCTGCATGCCAAGTAATCAACAACGGGAAACTTACGGAATCCTTCGAAGTGAGGACAGGAGTAAGACAAGGCTGCCTACTATCGCCAATGATTTTCCTCATTGCAGTAGATTGGATAGTGCGACAAACAGTGGGCAATGAGGAAACAGGCATAAAATGGACCCACACTAAATACTTGGAGGATCTGGACTTCACGGATGATATATGTCTGATTTCCCACAAACTGGAAGATATGCAAGTGGTGAAAAGCAACAAGTTGGCAGAAGAAGCATCAAAGATAGGACTTCATTCAGGTGGACATAGAGCAAATAGAGGTGATGAAGATTCCCGGGCAACACCACCAACAGCAACAACAACAACAGACAACAATCAGCATAAATCGTAGAAATCTGACAGAAGCAACCTCCTTCACCTGCCTACCTGGGAAGCATCGTTTCAACTACAGGCGGAACTGACGAGGATATCAAAGCAGCGGGGATCGGGAAAGCAAGACAAGCTTTCATTGCTCTCAAGTCTGTGTGGAGGTCAACAGCACTCAGCATGAAAAACAAGATGTGGATTTTCAACTCTAATGTGAAGTCAGTCATTACTACTATACGGATCAGAGACTTGGCGTGTCATAAAGAGCACATCAAACAAACTGCAGACCTTCATTAACAGCTAGCTGTCTTCGCTCAATACTCAAGATCAGATGGCCGGCCAGAAAAGATCAGCAACAGGTATCTCTGGTAGTGAGCGAACCAACCGAGCAGGAACCGACTGTGAAACGAATAGGTAGGTTTAAATGGAGATGGATTGGCTGGCCATACTCTGAGGAATTCATCAAGTGAGTGACATCACTAGACAAGCCATCGCTCGAAAGGAACCCGAAAGAGAAGCGGCGAGTTGGTCGTCAGTGCAAGGGTGACTTGGAGGAGGTCATGTGAAGAAGAGATGAAAATGTGTGGGCGGACTTGGAGCCACGTGAAAACTGTAGCAGAGAACCGAACGCAATGGAGACGAATGGCTGAAGCCCTATGTTCCTCTAGGAATTGAAGGAAACAATGATAATAATGATAAATAATCCAAGGCCTTGACTGACGCTGTATGACTGGTGTAAATTTCTAGTCCTACTTTCCCAGTTGTTATCCAGTCCCAACCGATTTACTCACTGTTCCATCAACACTAATGACCGATCTGCGTGAGACCACAAATTAAGAACCACAATAAAACAGTTTAACTAAAGTACACAAGCAAATAAATTTACCTCTTGATAAAGTAATTTTAAATACTGCTGAAAATCAATAACAGGCCGTGAACATTTTGCTGCAGTCAAATGTAAGCTAATCGATAACCATGTAAAATCTGTTGCCAGTAATGGAGCCAATGAAATGGCTTGATTTGGAGTCATTGGTATACTTTCTTTAGTTGTTTTCTTTCTGCATTGAAACAAAACATAGATTAAAATATAAAAATGAAATTGTAAGCTTATTCTAGATTTCTTTACGAACATACTTCAGTTAGAGAGGATCACTCAGAGAAGATCTCCTCAGCTGTGTTCTCCGGTGATCCTGCTAGGGGTCAAAACGGAGGCCAGCTCGCTGACCATTCAGCAGCCAGCGATTTCGAATTTGATCGTTGGTGAATTCTAACTTTATTGATTTTTGATACATAGCTCCACCAGTGAAAGGAAGATTGGTATCCAGATTTTGGGTTCTTTGTAGGGATTTAAGTTAATTAGAGAACCACTGAAAACCAGGGAGTACTGGACAGCAGTACGCACCCACTGGGGTTCAAACCTGGGACCTTCCGGTTACAAGGCAAGCTCGTATAACATTGAGCCACTGGGACCCGATTGAATGACCCAGTGGGTGCGTACTGCAGCTGATTCCCAACTAGGATGAAACAGCAGCTGTCCAGTACTCCCTGGTTTTCAGTGGTTCTCTAACTGACATCAATCCGTGGTCAAACTCGTAAATGGAAGAATGATCTAATGTAGAAACAAGGTCAATTAATTAGCAACTAAAGTAAGATTGATTTAGTAAGTTAGATGACGTTATATAATTGACTAAAATGTTTCAACTTAGATCAGGGTAGCGACAGAGGTAATTACAGGTAGAGACTAAGTAGAGGTGGGGTAGAAAATAATGCCATTTAAATTAGGACTAAAACTGAGCAAATAAAGTGGATGACGTAACATAAAAACGACTAGAAATTGAGCGTTGGTCAAGTCAGTAACAGTGGTGATGAAGTGTAGAGATTGAATCGGGTGGGGGTAGAGAATAGGAAAGTTGAAAATGTAAAATATTACAATTGAAAAGATAAAATAATACTGATGAAGATAGATTACGTCCATTGCAAGTGTAGTGATTGAAAGAACTTCTTCTGTATGCAGAGTTCAGGACTTAGTAAGTGAATTGCCATTGCTTCTGCAGTTTGAAGAAGTTTGATTCGTGCACTTTTAAGAAAACTGCTTCATATTCTATAGACGACTTTGAAGTTAGTTTGGGGTCTAGCTTGGTGTGCGGAATCACTCCCTCTGTACCCTTCTCTGTAGTGGTGTAGCTTTGCTTATCTCTTATTTCTGTGATTTGAGTTTAACCAACGCATATTGTTGCTTAAATTATTATTATTATTTAATCATGCATCTCAAGTATTAAAAGTCTTGAACAACGCCCATCCCAATATTAAGTTTACAATGGAGTATGAAAAAGAGGAGAAGTTCCACTTTCTTGACCTGGGTATCCAACGAGACATAGACGGCAAAATCATCAGATATATACACAGAAAAGAGACCTGGGGGGCGGCTTATCTTAAATTCAAAAGCTTCTACCCTATAAGTTAAAAAAAGGATTGGTGAGAACATTATTTGATCGTGTAAGGAAGCTGTGTTTAAAAGAAAAAATTGAGGAAGAGTTATCCATTGTGGAGAAATGCCTACGCGACAGCGGTTACCCACAAAAGTTCATCGACAAGTATAGGAGACGTCATGTTGAAAAAGTGAAAAGCAACACAGTATAGAAAAAGCCTATCTTTCTGCAGCTTGTATTCAAAGGTGATGACATTGCTAGTAGAATAAGGTGCAGACTGAACGCTACCCTGAAAAGAGCATATCCAGCCGCCGAGCTTGTATGTGTTTATCAAACAACTAGTTGTTTGAGACAGTCAAAAGTGGACAGATACCCACCTCATGTTACCTCCAACTGTGTCTACCAATTTACATTTACGTGCCAAAGCACATACATTGGAAGAACAGAGAGAAGGGTTACTGTCCGCATTTCTGAACACATACCAAAGAACTTGAGACTGAAAAGTTCGCAATCATTAAACAGTGCGATTGCGCGTCATCTACTGGACACTGGTCATATTGTAAACCACCTGAAGTCGTTCAAAATAATCAACAAGCAAAAGAAACCTAGCTTGTTACGTTTTGTTAAAGCAATTGCTATCAAACGACTTAAACCAAATCTATGTACGCAGAAAGAGATAGTGGTGAATCTTGCACTGCCCTGGTGTTAACAAAATATACAAGTTTCATGAGTCACCCATTTCTTGTTTAGAAAACTCTACTCTCTCATCTAAACATGACTCACCCTATCCTGTTCTTTTCTTTTTTTCTACTGGCTATTAGATAAAACATTTTCTTAAGTTACGTAATCTACTTTTTTTCTAATGCTCTTTCTAGCTAAACCTTGTTTCTATACACACACATATATATGCAATTCTGTTTTTGTTTCCAAGCCTGATTGTTCAATTATTCTATAAATAGTCAGTGTTTGTAACTCTTAATTAGTTAAATCATCCCGGACTAATGTTACTTTTACACTTCCTACCGATTACTCCTTGTGATCGTGGAAAAGTTTGTTCAAATCTTTAATGTAATTCATATTTTTTTATCGTTCAGGATGTAACCAGTTGAGAATAATTCTCGAAATAGTAAAAGATGAGCTCATATTATCCTGGTACAATTGTTGTTCCTGCTTTGTTCAAATTCATCTTTTGCTGTCATTACGCAACTCCTCTGCCATTGTATCGAAGCATTTATTTTTGTTTAAGCTCAAACTTTCTGGATATAAATTATTTAAGTGTAATTTTTGAACAGTGCTGCTTAAGTTTGAAGTCTCCTGTTAACCGACATCATGTCACATTCTCAAAGTATGTCATTATTGCTCTGTGCATAAAGACTAAATGGATTTCTTTAGGCTGTACGCAGCCGAGCTGATGATAAGTCAACGAAATAAATGATTGCACAAATCGCCTTGTGTTCTTGCTTTATTCAAAATTGATATACAACATTGATATTATTGTTGTTCAAACTTACTTTGCATTATTTAGTGAATTAGACTTGACTAGATCTTCTGTCACGTTAGTTTTCTCTAATTCTTTATTGATCTCTGCATTTTCTGCTTCTTGTATTTGCCTTTTATGTTCAATATAAAAGTCCCTTTAAAAAATTGTAATGGAAATATGTTGAACATTTAACCGGGATATTTAATTTGAAAGATACATTTAAATCCTTGTATGAAATAAAGTTGGCTCTTGTGATTTGCAAAACAAATATTATGTGAATGATATAAAAATAGATTAACTCTTAGTATTCAAGAAAATACCTTTAGACAGTGAATGACATTCATCGTAGATAGACAATAAATAATAGTTATTATAAAACAAAGCTACATGCCTCACGGATGAAGATGTCAAAGCCAGGATCTGAAAAGTAAGACAGGCTTTCCTTATTCTGAAATCATTCTTGATATCTCCTGCACTCAGCATAAAGATGAAGATTCAAGTTTTCAACACTAATGTCAAGTGAGTCACTGCCTCTGTATGGTTCAGAGATTTGGTGTGTCATCAAAAGTATTTCAAAAACGCTTCAGACTTTCATCAACAACTGTCTTCACTCAATATTGAAGATAGTATGGCTGGCTAGAAACGAATGGCAACAGGGAACTGTAGGAACGAACAAACCAAGAACCCATGGCAGAACAAATATGCACTAGGGAGTGGAGATGGGTTGGACACATGCTGAGGAGACCGTTGATAGACAGCATGTGCCAGGCCGTAGAGTTAAAACTGAATGTGAAATGACTCGTTGGGCGTGAGTTCGAAGGAGACTTGGAGGAGTTAGTATAAGAACAAAATTAGACCGTGGACTGCAGAGAACATGGTGAAGTACACGTGTTGTTGGGGCCCTATGTTTCACTCAAGACCCAAGGAAATAATAATGCATGGCCATTATACGCCATTGGCATTACTTTGTATTATATAGTCTGTACACCACAATAGAAACTGTTAGGGTTTGTGACACTACCAGTTGAGAAGGTCAAAGCGGGATAAGACTGATTTTCCAAGAGTGAAGTGCTTGATCTAAATTACCACACAATGTTATTTGACTGGTAGATCTGTAGGCAGGGGAAAACCAACAAACTAGCTCAAGAAGCAGTTAGCAAAATGACAGGACTGCAGGTGAACATAGAGAAGACAGAGGTGATGAAGATTACCAGCCAACAGCAGCAGCAGCAGTAACAACCAGCATCAATCACCACCAAAGGGAGAGATTTAAGAGAGGTTACTTCTTTCACTTATCTACGAAACATAGTTTCAACCACAGGCTGCCGGAACGTATGAAGACGTCAAAATCAGCCAAACCCGGAAAGGCCAGATACATCTGCATCAGTCTGAAGTTTAGTTTGGGAATTTTCTTTACTCAGCCAGCATAAGGAACAAAATTGGAATTTTCAGCACCAGTGTTTATTCAGTCAGTTTTTCTGTGTGAGTCGGAAACTTGATATGCCCACCACGAAATTCATTTCCAGCAGCCAGTTGTAGACTTTTATTGACAGCTTCCTTCGCTTCACAGTGAAGATCAAATGACCAGCCAGTCAGAAAGAATTAGCAACAAGAAACTCTGGGAACAAAATAAACCAAGAACCTTTTGGTCAACAAATATGCAGAAGAAAGTGGAGATAGATCAGGCGCACTCTGAGGAGACCGTCGAATGAAATCATGCGACAAGCCATCGCCCAAGTGGAAGGTTAATGGCAAGTGACAAGTTTGGCGTCATTTCGAGGGTGAAATGGAGGAGATCAGAGATTATGGGCAGTTGTGGACCCAGCTAAAGAAGACAGGAGAAAATTGGAAAAATTTGGAGTTGCTATTGAAGCTCTATGCTCCACTCGGAACCCAAGGGAATAATAATAATAATACGACAATAATGTTCACATGGAACACTGGAGCAAAAATAAGGTTAATCAATTCACTCCAGATATAGATCAGTGGGAAATCAGAAATGTGAAAGAAAAAATAGCAACTTGTGATGCCTAACAGACAAAAATATTGATGGAATATTATATAACTGTTTTCCAGTCATTTCAGTTAAATGCTTTTTCTAGCGTTTCACTTTGAATATGCACAGCTGACTGTAGTTTACAAGAAAATAATAAAAATGTCATGCGTGCAGTAACTGTAAAATATTTCTTATTATTACTATGTATATCATTCTGTGGTTAGGACGCTCGCCGACCATGCACATGGTCCGGGATTCGATCCCTGGCCGACGCACTCCTTTACCTCGCTAAGCCAGAAATAATGCTGGTGAAGAGGAAAGGTTGAGCATGAGGCTAGTAACCCCATCCTGTAAAATAAACACTGCTACAGAAACTTCAAGCCTCTAGCTTGAAGCCCTATGTTCCACTGGGGAACGTGAAGGAAAAAAATATCAATCCGTGGTCAAAGTCGTAAATTCAAATTTAATCCTTACAAACCAACTCTTGAAAATTAATCTGATGCTCGCTAGTGACCACCAGCTAGTGAGAAGTCGTGACCAGTGAGGTCCATCCAGTCAAGTATGTGAGGACGAGTTTCAAACCGATGACATTGGTTGGTGCCAGTCGCTCTAAATCACGAACTGGTAAAAGCTAGAATTCATGCTGTGGCCATCGATTCGGGTCCCAGTGACTGAATGGTATACGAACTTACCTTGTAACCGGGAGCTCCTGGGTTCGAACATTGGTGGTGGGTGCGTACTACCGATGATCCCCAAACTAGGATGAAACAGGTAGCTGTCCAGTGCTCCACTACCGGTTTTTAATGGTTCCCTAACTGACATCAATCCGTGGTCAAACTCGTAAAAATGACTATAACTACTAAATCTGGACTGTACCTATCTTTCTTACTCCTCTTTTACAGTTACACTGAGGCAACAATGACAGAAGCAAAAAACCTATTGAAGAATCGTACTCACACTCATGCACAAGACTCATCCAGATCTATAATTTCCACAATGTAAGAAATTCTATTCACAACCGATAACGTCTGACTAAAGAATTAGAGCAAAACTCTGAAAAATGTTGGCAGTCATTTCAACTTTAGGGGATGTAGAAAGGAAAACAACTAAACTGTAGTGGCATTATAATATCGATAAAGAAAGAAAGAACGTATTAGCAGTATAAAATGATGTCATCATTCTATTTCATAGGTTCCCATCAGCTGCTACAGACTACCCGAAATTGTAATAGTTACATAAAGTGACAGTAACATACTTCAATGTTTGAATGTTAGTAGAGGAAACATTATGAAATTGACGCATCCGAAATATAAGCATTACAAATGGCTTTAGTTTAATTTTCCATCAATTTATATACTTCCCAAATAGAAAATGAGAAGGGAGGAGAGAGGACAAAAAATAGAAAAATTGAATAAACAGTTTTAGCTTGTAGGTTCACAAATCAACTCAAGAAGGCTATTGTTCATAAAATTGCAAACTTGATTGACAAGCTAAAATCATGAATATGGATGGTTAATCAATGTAATCAGAATACAGATGCCAAGGTTGAGTGGGAGACTAATTACACTCTCTTTCTATATAAATAAGCTTGATTTGAGACGTTTGATTGTAACTGTTTTAGTAAATTGTAGTAAATTTGCTGTCGCCTGTATGCGTTTAATATTTTAAAGGATTTTAAAATCTCAGCGTAATAATCCGAGGTATCCACAAGGTGTTTGGTAATTTTACTCTGCGAATATCTGCTTCCCTCTAGGTATAGGTTTCTTGGGATATGCTATGGAAACAGCGGATAGAAGCCCTTCTTTCCGTGCTTCTTTCCTCCAAGTGTACGTAAATTAATAAGCACAGTAGGAGGTGATATCAGGTGCGTACTTATTCGGTTTGGGTTGGCTTACGGAGCATGCGGTGCTGTATAGCGCTAAGCGCTTAACTGCAGGAAGGAACCTTTTTACTGCTCCCTTCATTCTCTTCTCCATCTTTTGTGATACTACCTCTTCTGCGTGAATGAGGGACAAATGAACACCTTCTTTTCTTCAAGACTGGGATGCTTCTTTTTCTCATCCTTTTCTCTGTCACTCTACTTTTGGATGTATCCCTTTGGATACCCATTTTCTAAATGATACTATAATTGGTTGATATATGTTGCGAGTGTTCTAACACTCATCTGAAAAACCGTTGGACGTAGAGTGATACATAAGGGGCTAAAGGTAGTTAATTAGGCCGCAAAGCTCTGTCGATTGAGGTGGCTAAGACATATATTACGTATGCTATTCCACGGGATTCCTCGACACTTAGAGTTAGCTGATTTACTGTCGGCCATTCCTTGTGACTTATGATTTCCAATGAAACTGTTTTGTTCTTCGTTATTACTATTCCTTTTGTCTCACACCTCTGTTTACTGTCTATATTATGCATTTCTCCTACTTTCTTCTCTTGCTTTGTGTGCTACATGGGGGGAGTGTGGCGACTTGAACTGCCGCACATATGTGCAAAGTTCTATGTCGAAAACCAACGAAAACATGGAATTAATCCATAAAGTCTTAACTGTAAGTCTGTGACATGTAGGAATACATCACGGCACTAAGAATCAGTGGTTAGAGACTGTTGGTGTTGTTGTTTAAAGTCATTCTCAATGATACTGACGTTCATCCTTCTTATCATCTAACGAATCATGAAAATCATTACTGAACTTCACCCATTTATTCTTTCTGTTGCACATTTTTATTGGATGTAGTTTCCCTGCTTCTTCTCTCATTAGATTCATGTGTGTCTTCATAAAATGTGTAAGCTTGAACTGCTGAACTTTTGTACAAAGTGTTGTGTCAATAATATCTAGCCCATTAGCTGATAGAGACCCAAAGGTTAGATCACATTTCATGATCATAAAACCCAAGCATGCTTGACATTTCACTTCCGAAAGTTAACATGAATCATCATATTTTTCTTTACCCGAAACCATTACTTTACATAAATGATTAAGAACATTGTTATTTGGCACCTAGCTTAGCTTTAGTTAAAATACACCCTAAAATGAACTCAGTACTTGACTTTTAGACATTTCTACAGAGTTGATCCTCTTTGTTTTCAGTAATATCATGTCGGAAATTAACTGAATTGTCCCTTCGGGACGCGACTAATGTTTTCACCTGTATGGTATCTGTCACTCGTTTTTATCGCTTAAAAATGAATCACTTGACAACTTAGAAGTTTTAATTAACCAACAGATAAAACAATGAATTAAATAACAGAACAAACAATTTAATGGGTGTTCATCAGTTCATTAACAATGTTCATACAGATTTCAGTAGGAAATCTTCTGTTGGGAGTCCATATTATCAAATAATTGGTGCTTTTATACACTACCGACTTGTGCAACATAAATGTCAGGAGACTTTTCATGTGAAACATGTGGAGTCAGTTTTTATCATCGAATACTATACTGAACTACATAGGACTTAAAGTTTTAAATATTTTCATTGTATCAATAGATCACAGTTGCAATGTCACTCGACACTGAGAATCACAGATTTTCCAAATTAATTAGTCCGAAAGCAGTCGGCTGAGAATTCTCAGAGTCCGACAAATTATTATATTATATTTACTTGTGTAACGTAATACTTTGATATATAAGCTCTTATTTTGGTTTAGCAAGAAATATACGTTACTTTTTGGATGATAGAATTATTGTTCGTACCTTGTCTTGTTAAATGCTTCCAGTCTGTCGCTACGTAGGTACACTTTGTTTCAAAGATATGTCGTGAGCATAGGGAATTCTTCCGCTCCAAGAAACCAATGGTAACTAGCAGTTATCATAAATGGAAGTACCCACTATGCTAGAAGAATTAAAAGGTAATATGCAAAGTGGCAGAAGAACACAAGTAGGAGAAATCAAAAGTAATAGAACATTCTGCGTAGCAGTTTTCAGTTTTAAGGATTTTTATTGCATATTTAGTGTCTGACCGATGTTTTTATTAATCACTTGTACAGCATTTCATACTGGCTCAATGCATTTCTACTATCAATTGCATCAATGTACATTTAGACCTCATAGGAAAATCAATAGACAATATTTTGAACTGTATAAGATGTTTCAAAATTTTCGCAGAATTCAAGCACAATATGAAGAAATGATCACTGAAAAATGAAATACTCGTTGCCAAAAATTAATATCAAATAAAGTATGGCAACATATGCACTCTGATATTAATAACTATGCGCGGTATCACCTTTCCAAATCACTTCAGTGGAAGTAAAACTAAGAGCCCTACAAATGATCATAACACTTTCTGTGTAAATATTCATGGATAACAACTGCTTAAGACTTAATTTGATTACCTTAAGCATTTGTCAACGTCAAACATTTCAGTAGGTGACCAGTGACAATTTCTAATCCTGTCCTCAACTTTCTCAACGTAAGCCAAAAACTCCGATGAGCTCGCTCCACTTGGAATTCTTGTGATAGTTAAACAGCGACTGCAGCCATAAATATATTTCACCCTAGTAATCACCTTTATTAAATTATAGTATAAGTGTTCATAAAACCTCAGTGTTTGTACGCCACAAAACTGATACAGATAAACCGGTTGAAAACCTCCCAGTGTTAGAGAAAACTCTACTCAAATTGATCTTGACAAATTTTGGAACCTGTGAGATCTGTTCAAAATATTTGCTCTGCGAAAATTCGAGTTAGCAACTGACATTACTAAGTATCCAAAATAATCCACGGCATTCTCACGAAATAAAAATTGCAACGCAATCTCCAATTCTTTCAGGACATTATTGCTAGAAAAGTATTCAATAGCCTTTATCTTTAAATCCATCGTCCTTTAAAATGACGCCGTTACAGTGTTTATAGGTAAAGATAAAGTTCGAATTGAATAAACAAATCCGATATCCACTTCACGAGCTAATACAAACTAGATTTATTTCTTCGATCTCGCTTCTTAATATAGATGACATTGTTCCAGATCTTTGATGGGCTTTTGTGCAGTTCATCCCGTCATTCATCTGAAGTGGCTTTAGTAGAAGCCAAGGGGAGATTATTATTATTGCTATATTTGACTAGTAGTAAGTTCTAGTTTAATAAAGGGGTTCTTATGATACTGAAGTCAGCCGTTTTAATCGTCAGTCGTTAGGCTTGGTTTATAATTCGATCGTAGCCAATGTTCCTTACTTCATTGATAATGTTGAGCGATTCCAGGGCGTGTCCTGCACCACATTAAGGTGGTTACCTGGTATCACCTAATATGCATTGTGTGTGGTGGAGAGACATCATATAGACTCTGGGAGTTCAACGGGTCTGTTTTGGTCTGGACATATCAGCCCCCTACTGAAATGTGTGGCAACTCCGACTCGTCCCTCATGATTCCTGCCCCATCTAAACAGAACTATGCAGCGTATAATGACTTCATTACAGCCAATAATAGGAGCTTCCATGTTTCTGTCAGTACCGCTGTTTTGAGACCGAGGCCAACTGAGTTCAGGCATCTTACCTCATAGCCTCCTTAAGCCGCTATACTGGCAGTTGTTGTGTGGTAGCTGGAGAGTAGGCTACTAGTTGAGAAGCTGGTGTAGTTGTAGGGAATCCACAAGATAGTTTTCTTGGGTCGCTGAGATCCAGTAAGTGAAGCAGGAGACGATCAATTAAGTAGGATCTATATCTTCGTGATTTTTCGGTCTTTCTTTATCTATTGAGCGATGAATGTCCTTCCGTCCGTTAATCTAGGCTTCCCGCTTAACCTGCTAACTGCCATGCTTTCAAAAAATAAAATTCAAAATCAGAATTGCTCTACGATAATAACAGCTATTGGTCAGTAATCTGGGTTGTTATTTTGACAGGAAAGTCGGTTTCTAAATTGGTGAGTCAGTTCCGGTTACATATTGCCTCCTGTTGTATTAAATTTGACCATTCATATATTTTTGCCTTTTGGATATTTTATTCCAGCGTGATTTTTATTCATTGCAATGACTGGTTTACCAAGCACAGAAAACCGACTTTAAAAAATACTTCTGCAGAGGTAGCTTGTTTAGCAACTACCAAAGTTAGAACACCTCAATTTTATTGACATGACCCAGAACTATGGTTTTCTCGACTAGAGCTCTACTTTGATCAGTATAGCGTTAAGTCTGAAACCACCAGGTATATGGACGTGGGTTTTCAGTTACTTTATGAGATGAGCAGTAAGGTGTGGTTACTCACACTTCACCCTCCAACTGAGCTACCACACACAGTGTCTAAGCACGAGGCAATAATACGCCTCTGTGTCAGACAACCAGTGTGTAAAACGGTTTCTTAAAGGGGCGGAAGCAATCCAGACTGTCGTGATAATTTAGTACAATAAGTCCTGCCAACCGACCTTACCCTCAGTTCATACTACCTACATTGAACCGTGATTATAGTGTTCTGCTGAATCTTGCTCCACTATTTACAAAGCCTATTCTTTTTACTCTTTAAGGTTTTAACTTCTTATAGACTAATCTATTCATTAGGACGCATGCACATATATATAATATGTTCATAAGATGTATGTGGAGACCTATTGGAAGCACTCACTAAGAAAGCTAGGGAAATGGAATATGAAGTACGGACGTGTTTGGAACCAAGCAATATATTTGCTGCAGCCGTCACAATCTAAGTCTCAGAGCCTAACATCATAAAAGGAGGGAAGGTGGCGCATACTGATCAGCAGATATGGTGGTGGTCACTAAGGTGAATCGCCCCATTCTGCAGGACAGCAATATGCAATTTGATAGCTCGAGATTTTTATGGGGGCTTAGATCGTTATCTCGAAATAGATAATAATGATCGCCTAGATAGATGATGCTTCTGCCTTTAAACATATACCATTCGCTCAGCCTATTGCTGAGATGCGACCACGTGGGCTCTGCACAGATTCACGAGGCATCTTATAAATTAACATGCTTTCCATTGTCGGATCTTTGAATATAACTTCACAGTGTCTCATCTCATTCATCTCCTAATAACGTCTTCACTTGCTCCTCATTATATTCCATTAAACCTAACATTTTCTGGCTCTTTATGAATTCGATTCGACTTATTCTATTCCTGTTCTCTGTAGGGTACGGTTTTATACCAAATACACAAAAAGGTATGAAATAAAAATAACCGGCTTGAGGATAATTGTATTAAAACCAAAAGTGGAAATCATACTGGTAAGACATATATGGGTAGCATTATACACTGCAAATGAACGTCGTCAGCCTAGGGATTATATAGTTTCCCATTGTATGTCCTTTATGAATACATTTATTAATGATACATTGCTTTTCCTTCATTACATTTTATTGATTAATGCTTACAGAGCCCTAAATAAAAAAACTATCCCAGACAGATACCCAGTACCATACATTCAAGAGTTTACTAACAGTCTTCAAGGCACCACAATATTCACTGTAATAGATTTAGTTCTTGCCTATCAAAATACACACTGACTACCATCTCACCGGAATTTTACGAGTTTGTGTGGATGCCATATGGCCTTCGGAATGCTTCAAAAACTTTTCAAAGATTTGTGGATGACTTGTCGCGTGAACTGAGTCCGCCAGAGCGTACACAGATGACCTACTCGTCGATAGACCGGATATAATCATAAACGAAGACCACATTCGGGCAGTACTACGCAAACAAGAAGAGAGTGGCATGACAGTCGGTCAGAGTGAGTTTTTGGGTAAAAACAACAGAGTTTCTAGGACGAAAAAATGGATAAACCTGAGATCGGACCGAAGCCCCAAAAGAGGTGGGTGCCATCGAGCAGCATTCCTCAGCCACTTATCTCACTGATTTCAGCAGTTTTCTGGTGTCGATTGGGACAGCGCCCTCCGATGTGTAGAAGTAGTTTAAAAATTACCTTTTGGTCAACAATGTCGAAGGCCTTCTCAAAGTCTATAAGGTTAAGGTAGAGGTTTGATTGCCATTGCATGCTTTGTTCGATGATGATGCGTAGAGTTGCAATTTGATCAGAATATGATTTGCCATTCCTGAATCCATCTTGAGTCAGAGAGTGGAGTTCTTCACCCACAGCATCTTTTATTATTATTATTCTTTCCACGATGATTTATTTTATTTTTGATTTACAGCTTGATTCCACACCGTATTTTCAGTACAAGTATGGAATTTTCAGCATAGATATCGGTAGCCCAAATTCAGGCTGACCATAGATATCAGGTGTGCGTCGGCAGGGATCGAAACCCCGGACCATATGCATGGTCGGCGAGAGTCCTAACCACTGTGCCACCGACGCACAAGCGTGTGTCGGAGGTGGGATGCGACCTAGCATTTTATTCGGCGTGGAGAAGAGGCGTAAATTGCACATCTGGTCTTGTTGCTTCACGGAATTCAGCAGCTTGATCACATTCAGTATTTCGGCTTTCGTTGGAGGAGTGGTATCCACTGTCAGTTCCGTGCGTGCTGTTGGTGGTATTTCTGGGCGAGTTGCAGGTGGCGGTCGACTCAAGAGTCTGTAAGAGTTAGACTTGGGTTAACTTAGACCTAAATTAGCCACTCTTACAAAAACTTCTTCACCGCTTTATGACCTTAATTGTACTCTGCCTAATGCGCAAATACTAACGAACTGAATCAAGGTAAAAAGACTTGAGATAACTAGCGTGACTGGAACAGAGTTATATTTACACAAAAGCAATATGAGATTTGATAAAGAATAAGAGGGTATACACTTATCTGCAGTTGAGACGGTGGTAAGCTCGGAGAGTGTGCTAGGTGAAAGCACAGCGAGAGAGCGAAACCGTACAGGAGATTCACGAATCCAAAGAGGAAGTGGGGTTAAAGGTCAGGTGAGTTCGTTCAAACAAAAGTTCGAAGGTACAATGTGCACTACAGGTTATCCCCCCTTAGAAGGTTGGTGGGATAACAGCAAGCTTCGATATATAAAAGTAGCAAGGTTGTGTACAATAACAGTGAATGAACAAGAAAGTGTGAAGAAAGTAATAAAATAGTTTTTTTAATATATATTGTGAAAGGAAAGAATGAAGGAAAAAATTAAGACAATTTATGGGCACTATGTACATGATCAATGGCGTAAGATGGAATATAAGAAGAAATAACGCTGGTGCCTTGGTGCGATTTCAAGCTTCTGAGTTGTCTGGTTTTTTTAACATCGTTTATTTTGACTTATCTTTTTTTAAATATCTGTTTATTTAGTATTTTTTTGACGACATACTATTACGGGCTGAATTATGTGGAGGTCTGATGGTTTACCTCCGTTACCCAGGTTGTTATAACGGGAAGGTGACTCATTATGTCTAATTTTCATCTTAGATTAATGCTCCATCCTTCCTCATCAACCGAAACTAGAAGTAATACCAAAGGCAATCAATATACCAGCGTATTAGGAGGAATAAAGTGAAAGCAACAGAAAAGAATAGAAGAAGAGGTTAAGATTTAAAAATCAGCATAAGGTGTTAACAAAAACTTAAGCGGAATAAATGCGAGGGAACTAGTGTAACATGGAAGTGGTACGCTGAATAGAAATAAAACAAGGAAAATTGCTAACGCTGTGAAAACTGATGGAATGTACAGAGAAGTGTGTGCAAAACCAATAGTTATGAGTAGGTACAATCGCCATCTTAAAAAAATGTTGCAAGCTGTATAATTAAAGTCATACAAAGTAATTACAAATGCGGGTCACAAAATAAATAAGTGTCATCATGGCACAACCCGAGTGAACATAATAAAGTCTGTAAAAAAAATAGATTGAGCAGATTAAAATTTACAGCAGAGAAGTGACACAGTCATGGGCAATAATATGTAACGGTTCATTGAACTATATAAACAAGTTTTGCTTATTACTTTTTTATATTTTTTAATTT